AGAGCCAGTTACAAATTTGAATTTGTTTTTTATTTGAAGAATGTCCATAATCTGAGTTTTAGAGATGTTAATATTACTAGTCAACAATGTGTTAGTGTGGTGTTTACCAGAAAATTTACAATCCTCGGTTCTTATAGACTTCTTTTTAAAATCTCTCGTTTTTCCGAAATTGAATGTAGTACTGGATCCTCTTCGCTCAGCCATGAATGAATTTCTATCTAAGAAGACGGAGTTTCAAATAAGATGTAAAATAACAATACTGTCACAGATGTCTGTTCAGTGGTTTGACTCTAAATGCTAACTTATTCCTAAATTAAACTCTACCGGTTAAACTACCACGTAGTTATGGCGCAAAATAGACTCCTGCTGTTATTGTTAGATATTTTATGGAGATAAAACCAGAATAAGATGTCACAAAATTTCTTTTTACTCTCGAATTAATTGTCTCCTTTTACTGTATATGATAATTTTAAGGTACAACTATGAACTGTTAAAAAGAAAAGATTGTCATGGCTACACGACCCCCAACTGATTTCACTCAAAATTGGCTCACTTGTTGCCCACAATGAACCTACAATCTAGACCGAACGGTTTATCTAGATACTAAGTTTTTAGAGAGCCCTACTAGTATTAAGCTTTTGTTAAAAAATTAGCAAAAATCCGTGCCAAAAACGCAGTGAATTCATGATGTGGGTGTTTCTCCAAAATCTCCAGCCAACAAAAAAATATTTTGCGAAGTGAAAGTAGAAACCGAGATCTTTACGTACAAAAATAAAAATATATATATATATATATATATATTTGTGAGCCATCAATCAAACTTGACAATTTTCACCATTTTGTTAAATAACGGAAAAAAACCTCTAAAATATAGCGGGAAAAAGCAAACAAGGCCGCCATGTTTTGATTCAATTCAATGCTTTTTCCAGCTCGAACAATCGATGATCTGAGCAATTACAAAAAAAAAAGGTATGTGATGTTTACATCTTGGATGAAGAATTTTCCCTTGAAATACAGCAATCTAGCGTGCCTGGGAGGGTTAGGTGACCCGCGCCAGAAATATCATAATACAGAGTCCGTTTGTTTCTAATTATAAACTGGAGACTTATAAGTCTTCATAACGCAAGGAAAACCTCGAGAGAATCTTTAGGAGCATTTTGAAAAACCATTTTGATGTTTCTTTCCAGTTTTATATTATCTTAAAATCATATGTGAAGCCCGACCGCTTTTAATTTTATTATTTTTTTTATTGCACCACAATTTTTAGGCTCTTTTAAGTAAGAAAAGTATTTATTTGTTTGCAGTAGAAGCAAAATAATGATCAGGTATATCGAAAATGCAAATTCAATATATTAAGACTATTTTTGTTTTCCGACGGCATTATTTTGGTAAGGCGCTGAGAGGATTGCTTGACACGCACAAGACACCGACATTTCCCACGCCTTCCATGCGTAACGTATTGTAGGGATGGGCGATTTTAAATGTGTTTGTTCTTTCCAGCAATATTCTACGAAAGAAAGTAACCTTTCTGCTCGAAACAAGAGCGCTAGATCCATTTTTATCGTTAATAATTGTTCAAGCGGCACCAAAGAGCACTTCTATGGTTGTTTTAAAGCCTCCAGGGAAGTAGTAGAGGAAGACGGCGGTAAATTATGTTTGGCCTGCGTTGGATTGTTAGACGAGTGCGGAGAAGATCTCACAATTTGTCCCGAGCACAGAAACGAATTCAGCTTGGAATGGCGGCCAAGTAAAGTTTGTAAATATCCTGAGCATCAGAGCAAACAGAAACCGTACAGAGGGATATCTAGGGAGATGTCGAGAAAAATATCCTTACATTTCGGTGTGCTTTGCGAGACTGGACAAGTTAATAAAGGGAAGTTTCACTTATCGTCGCTCAGCGTACGCTGTCTTCGACGAAGTATTTCTTGTTGCAAGGACAGATAATCACAGTAAAAGAAAAAGGAAAAGAATACTGAACAACGTCGACAACAAATTGATTTCCGACTAATAAATTGCTTTGTTCACTGCAATATTAAGACGGAAGTGTTCAAAGGAGAATGCTTAATCGCACCAGAGAATCGCAAAAACAAGAATCAACCACCTGCCGTAAACGTGGAAGCTTGGTAAATAAAAAAAAAACATTTTTCTTATCTAGTTAAAACGAAACAGGAAGCCCAAAGAAATATTTGCTAGAGGTTTGTGCAAAGTCTGAAGGAAAGGCAATGGAAACACCAACCATATCTCTTTGAAAATATTATTAGTGCTGCCAATTCAAAATTTAACATAATTAGATCTAATCATAATCTGAGAAAGATATGCACGCATTGAATAAAACTTTTAAGAGCAGTTTAAGAGAGTGTTCGAGGTATTTGTGTGTTACGATTACGACATTTGAACTTTTTTTTCTCACTAATCCGTGAAAAGCCGCGCTTAATATTGACGTCATATTGACAAACGAACTGGTTTAGTTTTAGTCTTCAGTTGTTTTTGGTTATAAGAAGAATGTTCATTGTAATTATTTATATGTGAAGATGACTTTTCACTTATCGAGTTTGCCAAAAGATGTGAAATAAAATTTACCATCACCGGTTGTTGCAGAGTTCTCTTCCAAATCGATCGACACCGAGTGTGTAGCCTGTAGGTCATAGAGCCAGTTACAAATTTGAATTTTGTTTTTTTATTTCAAGAATGTCCATAATCATGAGTTTTAGAGATGTTAATAATACTAGTTAACAATGTGTTAGTGTGTGTTTACCAGAAAATTTACAATCCCCTGTTGTTATAGACTTCTTTTTAAAATCTCTCGTTTTTCCGAAATTGTATGTAATGCTGTATCCTCTTCGTTCAGCTATGAATGAATTTCTACCTAAAAAGACGGAGTTTCAAATAAGGTGTAAATGATAACAGTACAGTCACAGATGTCTGTTTGGTTTGACTCTAAATGCTAATTTATTCCTAATTTAAACTCTACCGATTAGACTCCTGCTTTTATTCTGAGACAGTTTACGGCGGATAAAACCAGAATAAGATGTCACAAAATTTCTTTTTATCTTCGAATTGTCTCCTTTTATTGTAAATGATAATTATAGGGTACAACTATGAACTGTTAAAAAGAAAAGGATTGTCATGTTTGCTACGTAAAGCCAAATTGTGGGCGCATTTTTAAAGAGTCAACGGATATGAGGAAGTCTTGAGTTGAATGTTGCCGATGAGGTTAGAACCAAATAATCGTTCGGCAACTTTTGATAATTCATAACTATTCAACCATTGATTTCTTACAGCGATTGATCAATTGCTTTTCTTCAATTAAGTATTAGGACGTCTTATAATATAAGGAACATCAATGGTCCAGATAATGGCAACAATAAGATTTGAATCACCTGCAGCTTGCATGATACTAAGATATTTTTTCTTATCTCGTCAACTAAAGGGATAAAGAAAGAAAAAACCTGAAAAATATATCGTAGTGCCCCATTGGCAAAATTTTGCCAGTTGTTGTTAAAAACAACCAATCACTATGCATTTGATAGGCACTGGCAAGGTAGAGAATAAAATGGCAAAAAGGGTTTGGTAGCAAAGCATCGAGTTACGATTTTGTCTTTAATTTCAGTCCGGGATGCAAAGGGGAGAGAAAAAAAGCTCCAAACCTTTTTCATTACAAATTTAATTCAGACACTAAAAGAAGTTCGCACCTATGACTAAAATTTGAATTTGAATAGTATGACGCATTCGGAGATTGTCACGAATCCAATTTTTTCTAAGACCTAGTAAAATCGTTATCTTGAACTTTTGTTTCCAGTTTTCCATGGCTGAAAAAGATTCACGTCTCAACTTCTCACACATGATATGGACACTTGGGTGGTTAAAGTAACCTAAGATGGATTATGCAAGTGCTGCGAGGAAAACCTTACATTCTTTTAAATTTCTTTATCAAATGGATGGTACAAATTTTTGTAAGATTTTCGGAAACTTTTTTAGAATTTTGGCAACTTTGGGCTTTTTGAGGTTCTTTGAAGCCACTTTCTTCACGTTTTGAGCCACATTGGTCAGCTTTCGATAGACATTGCTTTAATTCATTCTAAAATACAATAATTAGCCCCCCCCCCATGGGTTGATTTTTGTGATGCCTTATTACGAGGTCAACTGTACCACTTTGCACGTTTTTCAAGATGGCTGACAATTACAGTGATATTTGTTGATGTTTTATTGTTTTGTTTTAACGACTTTACCGGGTGGGACTAGACCCGGAAGGTTAGTGCGAACGGAACACAAGGTCCATGCGAGGCACCACCCCTCCCCCCAATTCACCCTGGATAGACACTGCACAAAGATAGACCACAACACCGGGCACTACGTGCCCTACTCTTTTCGAGGAGTGTGTGGTTTCTTTAACGTTCCACAAATTTAAATCACAGAGACGGGACCTCCATTTATCGTCCCTATCCGAGAAGACTAGAAAGTCTAACCGTTTGCAGATATTATTACAAAGGCAGCACTTTCTACTCAGTTATTTAAAGACCCTGAGTGTTGGTCCGGCCGGATTTGAACTCTCGACCTCCCGCACAACAGTCCCGGCGCTCTACCAATTGAGCCAACCGGGAATTGAGCTAACCAATTGATCAAATGAAATGGAAAGAACCTCTGATATTATCATTGGACTTTGACAAATAAAGTTTTGATAAGAAGCAATGTGCCAATTTTCAATCTTTAACACCTAAAAAAGGTACGAAAAGCAGAAAAATTTTGGTAACTTTTCGGCAACTTTGGAAATTCAGCAACTTTTCGGCAACTTTTTGAAAAAAATAGCAACGTTTTGGCAACTTTTAGACACTTTTATCGGCAACTTTTTTGGGATTCATCGGCAACTTGTGGCTAGGCCTACTGAGTGCAAACATACATACTATGGGTGCGTAACACATCCTTCATCGTACTAAGCGGGAAGACTAGGCCCGGCCGATCCAAAGGCCTTGGCAGAGACTCCCTGGAAACTAGCCCAAATTTTTGCTGCCAATGATCAAAATGGCGCCTGGCACAACAACACAGGTAGGAAGTTCGCAAAGTTTACTCGAAAAAGGTTACTAAATATTAAAATCAGGGACAAGTGATCCGTGAGAATTTGTATAAAATGATCAAATTTTATTACAATCCTTATGACAAGGGTGTATCGCTTCTTTATGCACTGATTTTCTCTCCCGAAAATCATTAGAAAATCGAGCGTCATAATATTTACTTTGAAGCGTACCATGCATGTTGCTAAGGAATCGGAGAAACCCGCTTAAAGCTGCAAATTATCACTAAAACGCAGTGTTCCATTATCTCTCGTAAATTTTCCCTTCCCTTTTTGTGCAAGTAATATGTATTGAGTTTAATTGAGCGGGTTCAACATGCAGCTGAAGAACAAATTAAATAATATTACCGTGTGGAAAGTGATTAGAAAAAAAGCAGATCTTGTACTTCAAACTTTAGGATCTGTAAAATTCATGATATCTCTAAAAAAAAAAGACTCTTTTAGTTCATGGGAAATAAGCTACTGACCGAGGGAACAGTGCTTAAATTCTTAAGTTATATATTTAATTTGCTGGCCAACAGATATTCCTCACTTGTAGAACTATTGACGGACCAGTCCTGGCCATGTACACCCTAATATCAGTATGCATATTCTCCATACTGTTCTCTATACATTTCCTAAGGTTCTGATAAGGAGAATTTGTTTAACAATCAAGAGCTTCTTTAGTTGATAATCATATCCTTATAAATTATTGTAAGGAGAAATTCAACATTAGTCACCCTTAGCTATATAGGAGTTAAAGGGTTCATTGTTTCTGTCTTAGAGATCAGTTTAGAAAAGTGTCATACAATGAGTTCCTAAATTTTGAACAACTCTCAAATTGGAATTATTGTAAGCTGTAAGTCTTTATTACAAAGAAATATTTCACTCAAGGGATTTGTGACATTTTACTTTATGGATTATTTTCTTCTTCTCTAGGAGGCCAATAATGAGAATACTGAAGGGCAGCAAAGCAATACAATTATCTTTAATGCATCTAAAGGAGAACTTTTCACACCAAACAATGGTTTTAAATCACTGGTTAGAAAACTGAGATCCAATTGGAAAGTCATCACGTATGTATAACTATGTTTTTGTTTTTGTTACTAACTAGCATAATTTTAGATAGATGCTGTAACCCCTTTGCACCCTGACATCAGTATGTATATTCTCCACACTGTTCTTTACACATTTCCTGTGATAATGAGAAGGAGAACATGGTTAAAGATCGGGAACTTCGAATGCTGGTGATCACATTTCCTTTCTTCTCATGACCCTAATGTTTGATTCAGTGATGATGCTGTAATGAGAAAATAGATCTTCATCATTCATAGGTGTTTAAGGGTTAAAGTAATTCAGGGAAGGTCCTTAAAACCATCATGTAATGCTGCAGCAAACACAAGTGGACAGCAGGATTTTAAATAAAAAGCAATGGAAACAGATCAATATACTATGCATATACACTATACATTCACATATACACTATATATTCGCTCCGACGAAGGGCTAACGCTCGAAACGTCAGCTTTTATAATCATAACGGTGGCCAATTTACCATTTCAACTTTGTTGTTATATTCAAATTATTTCGTTACCCCCACCGACGCAGCCCAAACAGTTTCTTTTAGAAACTATCAGCCAATATAACGCAGTTGCACCTCGATTATCCAAACCTTTTGGAACTAGACAAAAATAGTCTGGATAATTGAGGGTGTGGATAATTGAGAATATGTACATTAATGAGGAACAAAGACTGGTTAAATTAAGTAAGCAACATTTAATCCTAAAACAAAACATTTAAAAATCTTTTTGAAAAAGATATGGTCTACATCTTCACTGTCCTACGTGAATACCTCTACAAGTGTGTATCAACAATTAAAATTAATGAAAATGTTTTTACATTGGCTTAAAATGTTGAGGTAAGTCAGTTTGTCTTAAATAAGAACATTGCCTGTACTTCACTTTTCAATGCTGCAGTTTTAAAAAGAATCTGGCTATAGATCTTGATCATGACTATGTACCAGAAAAAGTCTAGGTAATTGAGAAATCTGGATAATTGAGGTTCAACTGTACAGTATAACCCTATAACTAGGTTATGGAATATATGTTTCTATCATTGTAAATATTGTGTGTGGTAAATGTTATAAGTGGCTGCAATATGGCTATAGTCTTCAAGATACCTTTGCTCATTATTTTTAGTAACAAAGATGAAATTACACTGGAAAGAATTGTAACAGCCAAAATAATGATATTTGGAGGGCCAAGAAGAAAGTTTACTACTTCTGAGGTAATATATAAGTGGAGCTATGCTAATTACAGATAGAAATTCCTTTAAGAATAAATAAATATAATTATTGTTCTTGAATATATTTGGTTTGGTTGGGTGTGGTCAGGGGATGAATTTAACCCACCCCTGTTTTTGTTGCCTTAAGTGAATATTTAAAGCAGTTCAGTAACCTAACTGCCTCCCAGTTAGCTCAATGGATAGAGCGCTGGACTGTTGTGCGGGAGGTCGAGGGTTCAAGCCCCGGCTAGATCAACACTCAAGGTCTTTAAATAATTGAGAAGGATATGCTACCTTTCTATAACATCAAGTAATGGTTAGATATTCTAGTCTTCAGGGATAGGGACGAATAAATGGAGGTCCCGTCTCCTGCAGGGTTAGGGGTAGGGGACATTAATTTCCCACGCACGAGATTACTGTGTAATGGATGTCCTCCCCTGGGTTGGGATGGGTGGGATTTATTGGGTGGACTACTCGCATGGTTTGCATAGGTTCCGTTCTAGTCCTACCCTGCTGCGGTAATGCAGTGAAAATGGTTAGAATTAGAATGCTAAGCGTGAGTAAGACCCAAGTGTTGTACACCCCCTTTATTTGACAGCTGTCCTGTCTATGCCGCTGAGTAGTATTTAGAAATGACTGTCATGTGTTTTTTTCCAGTTTGATGCACTTAAGCAGTACATTGAGAAAGGAGGAAGTCTTCTTGTCCTATTGGGAGAAGGAGGAGAGAGTCGTTTTGACACCAACATCAACTTTCTCTTAGAAGATTATGGAATCATGGTGAACAATGGTTAGTACATAATTAACAATTATTCCACGAGCGCACGTTGAATATGAGATGATAGATAGCCAACAAGGTGCATAGCGCCAAGTTGGCTATAATCATCTTGTATCCAACAAGCGCGAGTGGAATAATTGTTTTATTAAAAACGTTAAATTAAATTATTAAATTTTATTAAATTTTTAGCTCATTTTAATTTTAAGCTGACATGTACGTTTACCATATTTGTAGATTATGGTATATTGGCTGATATACCATGATGGCTCAGCCAATAAAAAGTCTTGAATTGCATTATCCAATGATCTAGTTTTTAATAAAAGCTGTTATTAAGAAATTCATCTCATCCATGGCTCTCTAGGATAAAGAACCTGATGGAAACACTTGCACTGTGACATGGTGCTTCGACAGCTTTCTTGATTTTATTGACAACATTTAGATTGGGGTGAATCCCAAATAACTGCTGTTTAGAGTAAATGGAAACTCAAGTCGACGACCTTATGAATTTCATAAGTCACTTTACTACACAATGACAGTCCCATTTGTAAAAGCGAAAAAGTGAAGTGACTCAGCTTTATTTGAATAATCTCTAGTTTTTTTTAGTCTAATAAACTCCTTTCTCATTGTGATGGCTCAGCCAATAAAAAGTCTTGAATTGCATTATCCAATGATCTAGTTTTTAATAAAAGCTGTTATTAAGAAATTCATCTCATCCATGGCTCTCTACCATTTTTCCTTTCTAATAGAAATGTTTTAACATTTAACCTTGTCCTCTGCAGTAGCTAGTCTTCCATGTAACAATTTGTCAAGTTTTCCTTTATATTCCTGAGGTGAAAGGGTCTCTTTGAGTCAGAGTAAACTATCTTTCCCATGATAATAGCACAATGACACCTTCTAATAAAAGTATGTAAACACAGCATTTAATCATAAAAATATCTTAATTACAGACTCAGTTGTGAGAACTGTGTATTACAAGTATTTCCATCCCAAGGAAGTGTTGATCTCTAATGGAGTTCTTAACAGGCAAGTTGTGACCATTATAATAACTATTTCATATTTTGTGACTAACGATAGAAATTATATTTTTCCAAAAAAATTATTTTGTTTGCTCATATCCCAATTTTATGTGCCATCATGCCTATCACATTCTTATATTCGATGGCTAAACCTAAGAATGACAGATGTTGACTTTGTCTTTTTCTGTCCTTGTAATTAGAGAGATCAATCGAGCAGCTGACAAGTATGTTCCTGGAATGTCAGATCTTGAAAAGACAGAACTTGGACAGTAAGTTTCATTTTTAGCAATTGGCCAGTATGAAATCCCATATCAAAATTTTTGAAACATAATATAGTTGGTGAAGATGCAAGCTGTTGAGTGCTCTCCAAACTTTCCAAGTGCCTTACATCTCAGTCTGTGAAGCCAAGAATTAGTTAATTTAAATGATGCTTGAAAGGAAATCTTCTTCACGATGTTTCGACACATTCATACACATTTTTGGTATGTGCTAAAGGGGTACCAAGCATGCCCTCACCATTGATAATCAAAAGTTATTATGATCAAATTGATTATAATAATTTTAGTAGCTAAATTATTTTATAACTTGATGTGCTTTAGATGCCATGATCAGTGAGTTTATGCTTGCATATATACAGATGTGCTGTACATTTATTTAGCAATTAGGATTTTCTTCATATATTTTGGTCAATTTTTCCTTTCTTTTCACAGATCTCTTACATTTGTATATCCGTTTGGTGCAACACTGAATGTGATGAAACCAGCCATTTCTGTTTTATCAACTGGTAGTGTGTCCTTCCCACTGAACAGACCAGTTTGTGCCTTCCACTCAACTAGAGTAAGTGTGATGGCCAGTTAAGTTTTTTCTAAAGGTTTGCTTATGTCTGTATGACTACAATGTGCATCTTTCAGAATATAAAATATATAGAAAACTTTTCCAAATGGTGTTGCATACCTGAATGCCCTTATCTGTACCATTAATTAAGAAATGATCATCTGAATTCATATAATCCTTGCAAAAACAAATCTCTATTCCTCTTTCAAATTTGTAGACAGTTGAATGTTATTCTGTAGACGCTCAATAACTACGGACACTGTTGTTTCAGACGGGCTTAATCTCAGGCTAAAACTACAAATTATTTTTTGTAGGAAACAACCTTTGCTATTAGGTCTTGTTCTCATTATAATGCACAAGTTGGCTGTTTAAAATATAAAAGCTAAAAGTTTCTAAAGAAACTGTGGTGCTACGTCGGTGGGGGTAACAATGTAATTTGGTTATGTCAACTCAGGTGAAATATGTAAATTGGCCACCGTAATGTATAAAATATGAATTTGCTTTTATATGTTATATCTTGGAATAACTACATCTGGACAGTATATTGACTTAACTTCAAATTGGGTACTGGTATTGTTTATCCCTCTGCCCCCCTCCCTCCTATTTAACAATTATTCGCTGAAGGCGAGTGAATATTGTTGAATAAACCCCGAGATGAAGTTGAGGGGATTGTTCGACAATATTCACCGAACCTGAGGCGAATAATTATTTTAGAAGTCTAATTTCAGAGCTGAACAACAGAGAAATTTCTAAAATCATAACATTTTAGTAACATTTATTAACATTTATTGTAACATTTTATACAAACTACGTGGAACGGTTTATATAGTGTCATATAAGGAACTGCTCGACCAATCAGATTGCTGGAAACTCTTTGCTCAGCTCTGAAATTATACAAAATCCTAGTATTGTGGGATTTGTATTACACGTAGTAAATGACCATCCTAAGTGCATTTTTCTTTTAATTAATGCAGAATCAAACTGAGTGCATGTTGTTGAGCTACCATTCAGTTTTCTGGGATCTTTATGTACCTTAAGCTACACCTATTATTACTTCCCCCCTCCTCTTTAATTTAATATTGACATCAGATACTTTCCTCAGCATTCAAAAGGCAAAATGGTCATCCTGGGCTCTGTGCATATGTTCAGTGATCAATATCTGGACAAAGAAGAAAATGCAAAGGTTCAGGTTGGTAAAGAATTAATTCTTCAGGAAAATTTATCATCATCCTCTAAAACTGTATTGATTTTTATTTTAATTATTCATTAGTTATTATTATGCAGCAGTTTCAATGAAGGAGTTGGTCGGAAACAAGAGTAAGGGAGTTCTTCAAAATATGCAGCAGAAGGCTGTGATCTCGAGAACACTAAATATCTCTTAGACATTTAAAGTTGTAACATGAACGATGAACATCGCTTTCCATTTAACTCTTTGCCTTCAAAAATTCTGTGGATTATTAGAAACTTAGGAAGTGATTGTCACTGATTAACTCTTTCATATAGCCAAAATAAGTAATAGGTTTTTAAAGATTTTTCAAAAAATATTTTATAAAAATCTGTATTGATTTTTATTTTATTTATTGATTATTATTATTATTATTATTATTGAATTTTTTGAGAGGGGGTACATTTGTGAAAAATGTATGGGAAATGATATAGAGAATAAATATTATTAGATTGTAAAAGTGAAAGGGTTATTACATGCCTTTAGTTACTAAAAATTATTTTTACACTAATTTTAACAAATAATGCTAGTAAATTTAACAATAAGGTCTTCTCTCTCTCTCTCTCTCTCTCTCTCCAGGATGTGGTATTCCAATGGCTCACAACAAATGACATACAACTCAACAATATCGATGCAGAGGACCCTGAGGTATTTTAACTTTTGTTATCAGTGATTGTTTATTTCAAATGCATTGAAGGTTGTATTAATTTAATAAGTTGCTGTAGTTTGTAGCCACAGAGAGAGGTTTACTGCTAGAATTGATGGACAAATTACCTCTCCCTATAATTTCCACACATTATCTAGCAAAAGTGTAATGAGAATACTTGTACTTTACAATCACACAGTTATCAGTTGTGATAATTACCCGAGGTGAAAATTAAAACAATTTGTCTGTTTAAGATATCAGACTATCATTACATCCCCGACACTCCCAGGATGTCCGAGAGGCTGAGGGTTTGTCTTCAAGAAGGAGATGAGGTACAGCATATGCATAAAACAGGATTGTTTTCATTGATAAAAATGGAATGTTTTCATGACAGGATCCTCCTGTATTGTAACATGTAGAGGGACATATCAGCGCTTCAAGTCTAGGAGACGAAAGCTTCTTCTGGATTAAAATTCTTTATACTTGCAAGGTGCCCATAATTGTGTCCATGCTAAGGTAGTGCTGAAAAGAACTGTTGTAATTGTGATAGGGGTAAATGTTTTAATAAGCCAAGAGGAAGTTGTTGTCAGAGAAGACTCTTGAGGATCAGACCTCATGGTGGGTGGTCCCTGTAGGGACTGTGTGTCAGTCTGAAAGAAATGTTATTATCACATGACTTGTCTGGCCCTGGTCGTGCAATCCCAAAGAAAACCATAGTGAAATCTGACGTGTGCAAGGCCATCTAGCTGCCCTCAAGTTGCTCTGTTGCAAAAACGTTAAGGAAAACAGAAATGAGAAAAAACTGTCGAGTTTTTCAAGGAATTGGGAGTTTCTTGTTCAGACTTGAAAAAATAGAGTAAAAGTTTTAATTGTAGAATTTTTTTCTGCTCGTGTGGCGCCTGCATATGCCCATTTATCACATCCTATATATATTTGGGTTGAAATTTTTAGACACCTCGTGGTTATATGACAAAATGCTTATTGACTGGGTTTGGTTGGGCTGCATGGACAGGAAAATATTTTGTTCTTGGTCATGAGGTGCTGACCTCTCTGTGCTCGGTCCGCACATCATGACATGGAGCCGGATATTTTCCCATCCGGCCTTCACACTCAATCAATAGGTACTTAGTCACCTAAGGTGGATATTATTGTTGAAAGTTTTTAATTTGGTAATCTTACAGTGTGTCACTCATTCTTTACAGAGTGCTGGCTCAGATATCACAAAAATGTTTGACGAAAATCTGTTCAAACTTGACACAAGTGTAGTCCCAGCTGCCATAAGGTATAATGTTACAAGGATTACCCAATTTTATACAAAAAAACAACAACAACAACAACACCCTTAAACTGTTATTTCAATATTTCGAATTCCTTCACCTTAAAGTTTTCCTTTCAAGGTTTGGACTCAGCCTGGTGGATTATAAGAAAGTATCACCAGTGCAGCAAGAACAAACTAAAGTAATACCCAATTTTATGTTACAAAAACATCACCTTAGACTGTGATTAGGACACTTGCTAGAGGGAGCCTGTTATGCAAAAGCCTTGTGGTTTTTCATGGGCTTCCTTGCTACCTTAGAAACTTGATAATTAAATTGATGGAAAATAAGTATAAAGCAATACAGACCAAAGGGTGATAAGGGCTTGAGAAAAATGTTGAGTAAACTAAGACTTAATTGAGAAACTTTTTCCTCAAATGACATATAATCACAGTATTGAATGACATTTGATGACCACTTTTGAATAATATTGCATACTGTTAAGTTCTTTGATAAAGGCTGATATTTCTGTATGTTGTTTCTACATCACAGAGCATATGAAGACCTTAGAGTGAAACATGAATCACTGTTACTAATAACTCCACAGTTTGAGACCCCACTTCCACCACTTCAACCTGCGGTAAATTTATTAGCAAAACTCTCCTTCAAAACAAATAGTTATTGTCAGTAGCATATTAAAAAAATTAAAGCTCTCTCGCATGAGAAACAAACACTGTTCTGCAAAGTCTTATTTAGTTCTGGCATTGTCTCCATTTTAATATTTTTCCTTATTTGCTCTGCAATTCTTCAAGAAAATTCATGCCACTCTCTCAACTAAAGAGGAACTGGAGTGGGCCTTGTTTTCCGACCCCCAGACAATTGGCTGTTTTTCCATTGAGTTCTGATCATACTGTTTGGTATTTCCCTCCACTCTGGTTGAACTCTGTCTAAACTTATTGAAGTGCTCAAGCTAGTTTTAATTGGGAGGGTTATTTCTTTCACTTGAGTAATACCATACTGAAATGAAAGAATCTGACATGACTTACTTAATAAATGATATTAATTTTTTCTTGCAGGTGTTTCCACCAACATTTCGCGAGCTACCTGCTCCAGCATTGGATTTGTTTGATTTGGATGAGTGTTTCTCATCAGAGAAGACAAGACTGGCTCAAATAACCAACAAATGTGAGTGCACCAATACCAAAAATATTATCGGTTGCTGATGTTGTTCGTCTCATCATGAGCATGGTGGCTATTTGGGAGAAAATCTAATCTCCTATTGGATGGAGTTGTTAGGACTACTGCCTTATGTCCTCTCAAAAGGTGAAAAAAACAGTTTTTTACTGAACTTCTCCTTTGTTGTAGGTACTGAAGATGATCTTGAGTATTATGTTCGTGAATGTGGTGATATCCTGGGAGTTTCCAGCAAGTTACCAGCTGCCTCCAGAGATGCCAGACACATTTTGGATTACATTTTCCATCAAGTTGTGGAGTTTAAAAAGCTGAATCAGGTCAGTATTTGATTTTCATTGCCCCATTTACACCTCACACAGCTGTGGGGCTTCAAGCTTAACTTTTTCTTAAAGGCCACCATTTGGGGACCTAAAGTAATTGTGTGATTACCAGAAATAAAGTTTCAGTTGTCTCAGGAAAAGAAAAGGTGAAGGAGAAGGACACTACATGCACAATAATATTGCAAGAGCTATCATACTGCTACTTGTCTTTGAAATAAGTGGGACTGCTGTTTTGTTATTTGTCGTATGGCTCGTAATTGGAAACTTAAAGACAACTTTTGCTTCAAATTCAGTCACCAAAAGTTTTCTTGTCACTATGAGGAATAAGACAGCTACAAAGTGGAGTACTTAGATCTCATCTGAGACAAAATCTGAGAACAGTTCAATGACAGAAGCCTATGCCACATATTGCATTTTTTATTAGAATTATAGTACTTTACTATGGACTTCTTTGATTTCTATTTGTCGCAGGAACCTCCAGATGATCCTTCAAATGAGCCTGACTTTGTAGATGCCATGTGAGATAGTCACATTCAGGTCTTGATTAATTTAAAAGCCTTTGTGGAAAACAGTTGTTATAAACTTATTTATTACATCTAAAGCAGTCTGTAGAGATGCATGCCAGATGAATTGAAGAACAGTTCTTTAGACAACTTTTGTTTGTAGGAAGTTTTGTCACACCTTCCAAATAGGAATCGGCTGGTTTTAGTTATCCCTCCCTTCAGAGCATTAACTTTTAGCTTCATACAGGGGTGCATGGCTTGATCTAACACCAATTTCTTTAAGCTAATGTATAATAGAAAGTATACGAGCTAAAAGGGAGGCTTAGGAAGCTAATCATGTGAGTTATGAACTAAAAGGAGCTATGCCATGATATATTGAATTGTTTTTAGCTTTATAACTTCAGAGCCAATTTCAGTTGAGTGTTGTAAAACCAGTGTGAAATGTAAATATGCATAAAAGGTGAATAATAAAAAAAGGTACTTCAGATAAAAGTGAAAGATGTTCTATTTATTGTTTTACTTACTACCATAGTCTGCAAAGCCCTTGAGATAAAGAAAGATGTTGACATTTGTCTAGTCTGGGACAGGTCACAGATGATGTCAAAATGTGGTAAAACGAAGGTAAGAGGAAGTCTCAGGCCATTAGGGGTGTCGCTGAATTGTTTTCTTTTTTTTTTTTATTTGTCACTTTATGGGGGCATGACTTAAGATTGGTCTTTCTCGAGTTTTTGCCAACAGTGAATTGAGCAAGTTAATGGTGGGGATTCCCAGGTAATTTCTTGCACATGGTGGGAAGTGGAGATTCCACAAATCCTCTGAATTTAAACTAAAGATATAATCTGGTTGTTCCCCAAACTCTTCCAGGAAAAAGAAAAAGAAAATCAAACAGCACAAAATGATTGAAACACGTTACTTCCGGTTCCCTCTCTTTTAATCTGGGCGAGATTCCTCAGAGGACTGGTAACTAAGCCGAACGAAAATAACTTCTAAACAACTGATTTTCTTTGGCGGCGACGATATTGGAATACTTAAAAGAATCGAAATCACCCAAACCATACCCTAAGATTAAAATGATACCGTGGAGAATACCATTTCCCTTTCCGAAGGTAAACACTCGAAAATTTTGTACGGTATCTGTCAAAAGAGCGCGGTTTGCGATCCAGCAGGCTTGGAAGCAAAGGTAAGTCGGAGACATACCCATTGTTTACAACAGCACCCTTGTCGAAAAAGAATTGTGTGGAATTCCTTTCACTCTTTAAGTGTGTGAGCTTCTAACGAGAAATGTTTCACCTAACTGTTATTTTATTGATTTTATCCCTTTCTGTCGCTGATGAAACGTGTAACAGGGACGCGGGTAAGTGTGAAGACACAACTTTCAAAGTGAAACACGCGAAATTGTACACCACAGTTCCTTCAAGCAGTGAGGATGTAAACATTTCTTCAGTCTTGACTCTAAACGACGGTGTAAAAATCCCCATCTTTGGATTGGGTGTCTATCAAGCAGGGTCTGGTGAGGAAACTCGAAATGCTGTACGATGCGCTTTGGAAAATGGCTACAGACAAATTGACACTGCTGCTAGATACGAGAACGAAGATAGTGTAGGCGATGCCATCAAGGAGAGTAACATTCCTCGTGAAGATATATTTGTCGTCACAAAGTTGTATGACGATGATCACGGTTTTGACAAAACGCTAGTAGCGTTCAACAAGAGCTTAGGAAAATTAGGAATGGAATACGTGGACTTGTATTTGATGCATTCCCCGGTTCCCGATAATGTTGTACCTTCATGGAATGCTATGATCAAGCTACAGCAGCAAGGACTGATTAGGTTTGTAGAGATTTCTATGCAGCCAGTGTGCGAGAAATGTTTTTTTTTTTTTTAGTTCGCCTATCCTAATGTACACTCAGACACAATGAACATACTATTATTTTAATATTGACCTAGCTTATAACTTGATCTCAGGGATTCTGATTAATTTTGCACTTCTGAAAACTGTCTTGGTGGTATGCATATATCATGAGAGAAAGAGATTGCTCGTCAATAATTCTGAATGAGAACAGCCTGGGCACAGCTAAATATTGAATACTAGCAGTTAGAACCTTAAGTACACTTATTCTAACCCGTGAGTCACCAAGACAGAATTCCTCCTTACTCTATCAATACAATTATATCCATCAGACAAGTGACGAAAATAAAAAAATATCAGCTAGGGGATTATTGGTTGATCTAATACCAAATTCTCCAAACTAACATCGTAAGAATTGTATTGCAGACAGTAAAGAGAATTATGAATGAGATCTTGGGAGTGAAAGAATATAAAGGAGACTATATACACTACTGTAAAATAGACCTGTTGAATTTTTCTTTCATGGAAATTGTTAAAAATAATTTGAAATGTTTTGTTACAGGTCAATAGGTGTGTCCAACTTTGGTATTCACCACCTTGAAGAGTTAAAGAAGCACTCAACTGTTGTACCTTCTGTCAACCAGATTGAAGTTCATCCCTTTTTACAAGAAAATGATGTGGTCAACTACTGCAAAAAGGCAGGCATTGCCATTCAGGCTTATTCACCATTGACAAGAGGCGAGAAACTTGACCACCCAACAGTTAAAGCTGTTGCTGATGAGCATGAAAAAACTCCAGCTCAGATTTTATTGAGATGGTGTTTACAGAAGGACTATATTTGTATTCCAAAGTCTAGTCAGTCAACCCGCATTGTAGAAAATGCCAGGATATTTGACTTTCAACTGTCTGTAGAGGACATGGATGTTCTAGATGGGTTAGAGGAAGGTTTTAGGACTGGAAGACCTAAAATACAAGTACCATGGAAGGGATAGTGGTACGAATATTGCTGTCACATAAACAAAGAATTAATATGCTCCAGGAGTCCAATATGCAAATACATGTACTATAGGTATGTTACAAGAAATAAAATTTAGCCCTTAAACTCCCGCGAGTGACCACAAGAGAACTAGTCTTCTCCTGACAATATCAATACAATATCAAGCAGAGAGGTAATGAGAATAAGGAGAAAAGAAAATCAAGGACTTATCATTTGATCTAATACCAAATTCTCCAAACTTACATCATAATAACTGTATGGCAGACAGTAAGGAGAATTTCTTATAAGATCTTAGAAGTGAAAGGGTTAAAATGCATGTGCCATAGCCATCCAACCGCATAGGGGGAGGGGGTGGGTTGACAGAGGTTGTTTCAGAACTTTGCACTAAAGCTTGGAAATTGCAAGAATGAAGATAAAATTGCTGAAATATTTACTACCAAATTTTTAACTGTCTAGTGCTTTAAAACATATTTTTTAATTACAGAAAAAAATGCTATAGAAATAATTATACTGTAATTAATATTACAAGATAGCACTGCATTGAAGCAAACCAAAGCAAACTTTTAAGGTATTTATTTTTAAGATTTTACAAAATTGGGTACTTTTGTGCCATGGTATTATTTAAAGTAATAGTTTAAGTATTTAATTAATAAAGAAATGCAATGTTGATGTCCTTTTTTTTGTATTTCATTTTGATGAGACAGTTTTTAACATTTTGTAAGTATAACAAACACTAGCTTATATCTGATCTCAAGTGCCATCAAAATATCAAAAAGTCATTCTATAAAAATGTGAAATACCCAGTCATGCATTTACAAACACTTTATCATCTAAGTTCTTGTAATTAATCCTTTTTCTACAGAAGGTTAAACAGTCACATGACCGTTGAAAGAGGAGTTATTAACTGTTCAAACACCTTGTAAAATTTACTTCAAAAATGGAATGATCTGTTCATAAAAAAACTCTTCTGTAAACTGCAGGTGATCACCATCAGCAGTTAGGAAATGGAGCTTCTTGTCCTTATCCATTTGCTTCAGTCCAAGCCAATCCTACAATACCAAAAGAAAGATTATATTACAGAAACAAAATTCAAGTTTGTGGCAGTGAGCTGGATTGGAAGTGGTCAAATTTATTTTTTTCATTATATACTTGCCATTCACCCAGTATTTGGGATGAAGTTTTCTTTTGTTCCATGCAACATTGATAAGACACTATGTCTTTTGTTTCATAAAAACTTGGATTGGAACAGACTTGAATCTATTTCTCAATGCATTTCAATGACATTCCATTACAAATAGGACAAATTTTGCACCTACATTCAGTCCCTACACCCCCCATCCACTCCCCTCTTAAATGTAAGCTTCCAGTGAGAAGCACTGGCCCTTTTTCAACCTTGGAAATGCCTGAAAGCCATTTCTGAGTTGTTTTTTCACTTGTTATCACAAAAACATCATATCTAGACCCTACAACATGACTACATCTTAAAAAAAAAAAAACAATAGCAGAGTGACCCACCTCTTGGTACAGTGGACTCTCTTGCAGAGTATATTTCTCTACTCCTTGGCCAGGCTTGTAAAAACCAAACCACTGAAAAGTTAACAATGAAAGAAACATTGTCACGTTGAAAATAAAAACAAAGTTCTAGCTCCTTAAAAATCTGTTGTGCCACGGATTATAAACATGACTTTCTCACTGGAGTAATTTGACTGAAAAAAAAGGTAGCCTGTTATGGATATTTTCCCAGGCTAAAACAATTTTTGAACTGTTGCTTTGGCTACTTTCACTGTTTTTTTCTAAGGTTGATGAAAAACTTAAAGCAAAGACATATCATTTTTTCTTCTAGCCAACTGCACATTTAAGCACTCCAATTACCAAAGAACTATAAATGCTAAAATAATAATCTCACCATTATATATTTTCAAGAAACAGATCAGTCCATCCCCCTTAGAATCCTTATCATGATAAAGTACCTCATACCTCAGATTCCTTTGGATCAACCATGGTGTCTTTGCCAAACATGACCATCACAAAGTTCTTTAATTTCATTAGGTTCTCTTTATATTTGGGCTTCTTCTCCTGTTAGTATAATAATAATAAAATTTTTCAAGATGAATTCCTTGGGTCTTGCATACTAAAAGCTTTTAAAGTTGACTCTTGTGTAATGCTACAGACACCCCTATTTGAAAAAAAGAAACTAGATCCAAGCTCTAACATCAAAGAAATGTGTAAACAACTGTACAAAGTTGTAACTTCAGACTTCAGATGGCAGAATTTCTCCAATCTTAAATTATGTAGTGATATGAAACTCTTAATTGAATTCATTTTGTTTTTCCATTCCTGGCTAATGCAGCCTATCTTTACTACAGATACCAAAAAACTAATCCAAAGGCCAAGGTATCCACAAAAAAAAAAAAATTATCCTGATTTCAAGGGGCGACCACAATCAGTGTACGTACTAGGAATGTGCTAAAAACCATGATTTCATCTATTTACCTTTTCTTGGTTGATATCTGCTAGGAACACACTCTTTTCTCTGTACTCAGCCTCATTCAGAGGGTCATGCCAGTACTCAGCTTGGACAAGGCTGAAGAATAAGACAATACCTGATTAGAAATGAGTTCACAGACTTCCTTCAAAATTTGCTTCTATCAGTTCATTTTACCACGTGATTTCCCAAAAAGTAAAAGAAAATAAACAGAAACTACAGCATAAAAAATGCAAAATAAAAGTATATACAATCAATCAGTACTAAAGAAATTAGAACCCTAACTGAACACAGCTCATTCCAGCAAGTATAAAGTAACATGCTAATTATAAGCATACAAAATGCATTCTCAGTTTTCTTTCAGTCAGATGTGGACTCCTACTGTAATCTTGATGACATTATCAATGGTTTAAGAAACGGCACTTACTTATTTTGAATCCATCTGTAAAAAAGGGGAAAAGGGGAAAAGGGAAAAAAAAAGGTATTAAGAAAATAGGTTATGAATATAAATTAAAACTGTTACTTATTTAAATAATAAGAAATATGCTCACCCTCTCTAGTACAATTAAGTCTACAGACTGAGGTTCTCCTGCATTCTGGCAGGTTGAGTTTGTTTTTAGTATGGTTTGAATCCCTTCCACTCCCAGGTGGCCTAGAAAGGAATATTTCTCATACAGGCGAACCTCGATTATCTGGATCATGATTATCCAGATTTCTCGATTATCCTGACTTTTTCTCTGGTCCCAATTTTGTCATGAATATTTAATAGACATGATCAAATCCATAGCCATATTCTTTTTAAAACTACATTGTTTAAAAGTCAAGGAAAGGGCGATGTTCTTCTTTGAGACAAAATGACTTACTTCAACATTTTAGGCCCATGTAAAAAAAAATTTTCACAGTGAAGATATAGACCATGTTTTGTTTCACGGTCAAATGTCACTTTTTTAATTATATCAGTTTTTGTTCTTAATTAACATTGATATTCTTGAGTATCTAGACCCTCAATTCTCCAGACTATTTCGTCTAGTCCCAACCAGTCTGCATAATCAAGGTTCAACTGTAAAATATATATTCACTATTTAGGCAGAGAGGTGATTAGAACAAACAAAACTACCCACTACGGGATATCATTTTATTTAATACCAAATTGTCAGAGCTAACATGATTTAAAATGTAAGAAAGACAGTAGGGAGAATTGAAGTTTACATGCTCGCAGATAAAGGGATGATCAATGACCAATCAGACAAACAAGGAAAAAGAGGAGTATAAACCTACTTCAATACTAGAACATTTCTCGCAATTTTGTTTTCGCTGGAGTCAGTGTTCTGAAGTGATGCTGAATAAAACTGACAGACAAAATGAGCACTAGAACAATGAATTCTGGAGGACAACTTACGATTCATACGCTCCAAAATTAAGCAACTTTCTGAGCACAGAGCAAATGGTGGAGTTTTCTCCAGGGCAATGGGGAAATCCAAAAACACCTACACAAAGAGTGGAAGGTAAAAATTGAAATTAATTTCACTGGTTTCTACTTGAATTAAGATTTAAACAATAATTGTTAGGTTTGAATTTATCACCTTGGTGTTGTCCACCAAAGCTGATCAAGTTCAGCATGGGAGGGTTGGGACATCTCTGGGCAACAGCACGTCTTAAAAACAAACAAACAGACATGGGATAAAACTTACCAACAAACAGGCATTAATGATCCTTTAACATCCAAGATCTAACTGTTAATTTGCCCCTCTAGCTGCTACACATTAGTTACAGGAAATTGGATTTTTGTCAAATATAACAACTTCTGCCTGATAACTCCAAGTATTCTCATTACGGTACTTGTTTTCAGGGGAATGTAACAACAACAACAACAACTTTTATTTCAACACGATGGTAATTAAAGTGTTGCCACTTATGGGGTCATGCAATTAAAAACTAAAACCTAGGATAAAAATATATTATAAACGTCTCAATAATATAGAAAATCGTTATCATTGTGAGGCATTGTTTGCGGAGATTCCGCCTGAAAGTCCAAGTTGCGTAATTTGTCGGATTTAGAGGCCATTCTTGTATAGTTCTTGACATTGGATGTCTTTGCGAGATCCGGAGTGAGGAGATTCCACACAATCGAAGCTCTAAATGCTATTGAATTTTTCATAAAATAAGTGTTAAAGTGTGGCACTATTACCGTGTTCACAGTACGTAAATGATGGATAGCATTGTTATAAGGAAAAGTTAGAAGTTAATCACTTCTGGGAGTCGAAGGGTTATCATTTGATTAAAAAAAAAAAAGTACCATTGACATGAATAACTAGAAAATTGGAAGAAATACATAACAACATATTAAGTGTGCACAATTCCTGACAAAAAAAAGAAAAAAAAACTAAATTCTATGCCCATGAAATCTTTGATTGAATAACTTTTTGGACTGTTAACAGTTATTTCTGTTTAAGATACCATTTGGACAAAACCACAAATCAAATATCCAATTAAGTGTACTATAAAAAACTTTTCATGAGCACTTATACTTACAAGAACTGTCCACCTTGCGAGAATCCCAGTGCATTATAACCATTTTTCAGCTTTGGATCATTGGCAACTTTGTCACACACCTGTTTGATCTGTGGGGAAACATTCAATTTCAGGTAATGCTGGAGTAAATCAACAGACCACAAGTTGTCCAATAAGGTTTACCAAACCTTTTGGTTCCTTCCCACACTGCTTATGACTGTCACGCTTTCCCTTTCCATCCAGTGACTGGGATGCCTAACTAATCCTTTGACTTCTAGAAGTGATTAACATGTAACTTTTCCCTTATTATCCATACGTTATCCCATAGACAGGTAATTATGGGGAGCAGGGATGGCGCAGTGGTGAGAGCACTTGCCTCCCACCGCTGTGCCCTGGGGTTTGATTTCCTGGATCTGGTGTCACATGTGGTTTGAGTTTGTTAATGGTTCTCGTCCTTGCATCAAGGGTTTTTCTCCCGGTTCTCTGATTTTCCTCCCTCCGCAAAAACCAACATTCCAAATTCCAATTCAATCTGGAAACAGTGGACAAGAAGAGCCACCCAGAGGAATATCCATTGGTAAATTATTCCTTTATTTATTATTCATCTAATTAAATACCCAAACTTATCATGTAGAAGTTGTTGAGAGTTAAGAAGTAAGCATCAGATCTCTGGAGTTTAAGGGTTTAGACAGAGTCTCCCATCTACTTGATGAAACATTTTTGTGTCAAACCTAGGATTGGCAACTACATTCACATGAAAAAAAAAAAGCCAGGGGAATAGACTATGAACCACTTACTAACCCGGATTAAGGTTTGTGCTGTAAGTTACAGAATGATCAAGTTTAATCTGCTCAGATTTAAGGCCCAAGTACAAACCACACAGACCCCTTTAAAGGACAAATTATCATGCACATACCAACTGAGAGATGCTGAAAATTCCCTAGCTGAGAAAAAAGTCAATGCCAGATATTGCAATATTTTAACAAAATTAAGTACCATTTTACAAAATAAGGTATACAGGCATTTTAACTAGAAACTTCACCAGTTGTTCAGTAAAATATTGTACAAAAAATTGGTAATAGAAATTAAGCATCAATTAATGTAGCTAATGAATATAAGCTGGAGATTACAAAAGAATTGAAAATGGCAAAGTACCTGGTCATTAACATTCATAAAGAAGCCATTCTCAGTGTCCTAAGTTGAGAGAAATATCACATTTTTAGTTTAATCATGGTCACAGTCAAGCTGTTGATAAATCAAAAGGAAGACAAACTTTATTCTCATGTCCTTACCTGTATGACATTGTCCCCAATCATCAATGAACGCACATAAATACCAGGAATTTTATTTTGCAGCATTGTCTTAATGGATCCCATGCTCAGAGGGTTACAGCACGAGTCACCTTCACCAAAACCAAAACAATCAGCATCAGTTGGCAATTAAGGTCCACATTTTAGAAATTACTGTCCAATTTACATCGCATTGCATCTTTCATGAGGTCACACAAATCTTTATGATACAGTGACAGAAATCCCCCTGTTAATGAACAAGAGAACTCCAACCATGCAGTTTCAAAATGCTGTAAACTGTACCTCCTTTTGTGTGTGTGTGCATGCATGCATATCTGCACGTGTGTGCATACTGAGTGTGCATGTGTGTGTGTGTGTGGGGGAGGGGGGGTTAAATATTGATTTATAGTAAATGTTTTAAGAGTTAGATTCACATTCATTATAGGATGGTAAATTCTCTTTATCAAACTGTTGCATACTTTATCCATACTTTATCTGTTGCATACATTTATCCACTTTATCCATTCGTTGTGACGAAGGGCTAACGCTCGAAACGTCAGCTCTTTAACTTTTTATGGGGGCCAATTTACAATTTCAACTTAGTTGATATTACCAAATTACAATGTTGCATACTTTAGCCCAACAACTGGCTTCCATGCGCACGCACGACATTGCAAATGAGCTGAAGAACAATCAAGACAAATATTCCTTAGAATGATTTGTTGGAGGTGTTGTATCCTTGCTGCACATGCCACTAAACGCAAAAGGCTTTTAGAGTGTGTTGAGCAGATTGAATAAATTAAATCTTTGGCTAGTCACGGGTGACGACTGAACATTTTCGACTACGTGATGAGGAAGAAGAACGAACTGAATTTCCTTCGTCCCTCTTTGCCACAGCAATGAGGATTTCGCAAAAACAAACACACCACCTTCCCTTACATTTGAAGTAAAAATTAATTTCTATCCCTTGAACTAAAACAATCTAATGGTCGGTCGGTCGGTCGGTTGACAGGAGGCAACCGCCTATCATGCTGAAAGCGAAATTCACGTCATGCAAATTGACACTTAAATTTTTCATTTTGCTACGTATTATTTCATATTCAGCCTTGTAAACTAACCCATTCCATGCCAGATTATTGCAGGTATTGTTCCATTGCTATCACAACTGCAGAAAGTCAAAAGTGAAGCAAGAACTATAGCAAAATAGGCAGAGTTTCGCTTCATCTTCTTTCGTGCAAGAAAATTCTGCTCCAGGAAAGAAGAAGTACAAAAATAAAATTGTCGCGTGATTTGGGTTCCATGCCCCCGTTGGTCAATTTATCCTGAGGCCCTGGATACCAGCTTCCGAAGAGTTGGAAATTTCTCCAAAAGCTACACCTTTATTCGTTTATGTCAAAATGGATGCCGAGTTACAGAAATTAGTATCTTGTTTTGAAATAAACGCATTACACGCGCAAACCTGTGTAAAAAGATCTTTACATAGCTAGTTTTAACCAATAAGGAAACTCGTGGACATCTTGATGCAGAAAAAACTTTAAACACTTTTTAGTTATGGTCTGTTAAGCTTGTTGGCTAATCGGCCTTTTTACTCTTAAACTCCCAAGATCTGATTGTTAATTCTCCCCTCTAGCTGCTACTCGTTTCTTTGTAAATCAATTACGAGAATTTGTTATTAGATCAAGATAACAACCTTGACCTGATAAGTTAGAATATTATCATACCCTTTTTCCTAGATAATGAATCGCCGCCATATATCAAAGGGAGAAGTCACTGGTTGATCACTCACTGTGTTAAGTATAGAAGATAACCCGTGAGAAATTAAAAGCTCCAGGTAAAAATGAACTCGTAGCAGAGTTCTCTGTTAAAAGTCGAATGTTTACATTGTTATTATCATCATCCAGTGAGACTGAAATAACACGCGTTTGCAACTCTTTACGAGAGGGTTCAAGAACGGACACTAGGGACCCTAAGCAGCCACGACCGCAACGGCAACGAGGACGTGGAAAAACAAGAGATCTAATTGGCAGAGCAATAGCTCAGCACGTGCGTTTTGAAACTTTGTACATTTCTTAGCCGTCCTATGCAAAACAACAACGTGAAATCGCTAAAATTTGCGTCGTCTGCGAACCGAAACTGCGCCGGCAAATTAATTTAATTTCCACTTGGAACTCAACGCTACTTCTATACGTCATGCTGAAGTTCAGCTGTGGCGCCGTATGAGACAGTAAGCTCATGCAGCCATTTTTGAAATTCTGACTAAGTGTAGAAATGCATTTTATAATCGAAGTCTTCCTTGGCGTTGCCGTCCTGACTGCTTAAGGTCCCTACTATTGAGACGCGAGCGTCAGACCGAAGTTGAAATTTTTTTCCCCTAGCACTTGCTCAACCTCGTTCCCAGGTAGGCCTTTATAGACTAAGCTAGCAAAAGTAGCATATCATGCTAGTAGCATTGCTTTTTTTTTTGGCGAAATTATGCTAAAATTATGCTCTTTTATCCAAATTATGCCTCTTTTTTTTTTTTTAAATTATGCTCTTTAAAAAAATTGCAAGTAAGTCCAAAAAATACATTTTTTTAATTAGAAGCCGTTGGTCTACAAGAAAGAAACGTAACAAATCCAGAATGAAATTCAAATAAACATGTGTTTCATGTTAACCCGGGCTCAGACCGTTTCAGAAGGACGTATACAAAACATGGACCGAGTTCCATGGACCACCCCTATGGACCCGGTCCATGAACCACCCCTAATTTTTAAAAAGAGATCGCCCCTGTTAATATGAAAATTTACCGGAGGTCAGGGTATGAAAAACACGGACTCGTATTTATCGCGCCCCCATAACTGGGAAGACCATAAACTCGTTTTGAGATACAGAAGATCGAGTGCATTTCTACCCCCAATAATCTCATTCCAACACTTCCATATTGCAATTCGATCGGGAAGACACCCCTACCCCGCTTATTATACTCTATCGTGCATAAAAATAAGCCGATCTATTTTATAAGCGAACTTTACCCTACGAACACAAATTTGTAATCAAGGTATATTGATGAAAAAGTTTATTGGATAGTTTGTGATTTTATTGAGAGAGCACAGAATTATTTAGTTTCCATATCAAACGAAGCGTAACCTTGGAGGGGGTAGGTTGCCAGATAACCCTTCGCGCTCCCTCATCCAACATGGCAGCTGCCTTGAAACGATCCAAAGGTCAGGTGAGTATTTATTGCTTGTACCCACAAAGTACGCCTGTATTGCGAGCTATGTACAGTCGCAAGACTTTGTTGTACAACTCCGAGTAAAAAGAACATCCAAAATTGTAAAATAGCGACACTTTCCCTTCTCATCTTCCTCCATGTTTCCCACGTGCACGACAAAACTCAGTTCCAGTGGGGTGGTCCATAGGCGGTGGTCCATGGACCGGGTCCATAGGGGTGGTCCATGGACCTCGGTCCATGTTTTGTATACGTCCGTTGCAGACGCCGCTCAGTGATTCACAGTGAACTACAAACTTGAGCTAAAATATCGAATAACGTCACCATGCAAGTGCTTGGGAGTAGAGATGAACAATGACGGGCTCCTGACAACGATCAAATTGTAGCATCAAAAATGATCCGATAAGTATCAAAATATGCGAATTATATTAGATTTGCTACTTGGCAGAAATTATGCCAGTTTGCTGAAATTATGCCAAAAATTATGCTAGCATAATCTAGAAAGGCCTATTCCCAGGGCTTTTTCCCTTAGTGGTGGCGCCCCACCTCCAACCAAGGGTAAAAGGCCCTGAGAACGAGGTTGGAACTTGCTTAGATCTATGATTATATGTTTTCTTTTTCCTCGTAAGATTGAGCAAATCGAACCTGATATGGTTCTTCTGAGAGTGTAAGTTTAAAAGTGCGCTCTGACTTGAGCACCATGCTAGATTTTGTGTTTTTTTTTTACTTCTGCACCCTAACTATATTTTCGGATCTCGGTTAAATTAATTTGTCAAGAAGTTAGTTGATAAAACTTCCTGATGGCGTTAGAGTCCACCTTTGCGATCCTGATTCTTCCTCGATAATAAACTGGCGATTGGTTTCAAAAATCCGAAGAAGGATCCCCATCGGACAAAAACGAAACTTGAATGTACTATGAATAGCTTAGTATTTTGTTTAGTTTACTTTTTGAAGTAGTAACGGTCATGACCTACGAATTATTTAATTAAAAATGATTGATCATAAATCATACATTATTAATACGGAAACCTTTTGATCGTTACTTACTCCGGAAGGGACAAGCAATTTGATTTTAAAAACTAGGGTAAACTGACAATAGAATGTGCTTTTCATTATTTACACCCTTTCGCCCGCAAACTTTCATTTGTCCATACTAAATAGACTGAAATATGTTAATATTCTTCATTAATTATACTTGCACGGTTGCTACTACATCACATAGCCACACCTGAGTTATTTTTCCGTTTTACTTTGAAGCTTCTCAAATTCCTTAGGAACAGTCACGATCAGCAAAGACTTCAATGGTTTTCTTTCCGATGAGAAGAGTGAAGAATTAAGACGGCATTAAGATAAAGAAATACTCATTTTCAGTTTTCACGCACAGATCACGTTCACATCACGAATTCAATGTAAAGAGCACGTGAGCACTTGCATAGGCTACCCCATTCTGCCTTATGATTGGTTGAGGGATATAACACACCTCCTGCACTCCCCCCGATACGCCCCAGTGCAAAACAAACGCACATAATTCATGAGTCTACGCGAAACAAACCTTTACAACTTGGGTCAGAGAGTAAGGTGTAATATATCATATTGTTTGAACCTTTTGATTTTGGACAGAAATGTTTGCGAAAAACTTGAGATTGGGCCACTTCGTTTGTATGACCGAGAATGTTCTTGGAAAGACACGTACGTTTTACTCAGTGGCGAAGAAAGATTCCCCGCGAATTTTGATCACTGGTACGTCTGTTACGAATTTGTTAGTCTTCTGTTAATATTAACGTCTGCCTCGTAATTGTCCCGTATTTGGGATAACTTTTAACTTAAGTTTGTTCATCCATCGTCAAAGAATTGTTTTGAAGTGTTTAAAGCAAAGAAACGTTAGAAATAAGCCTGGAAATGGGGAGAAATGTGGATTTCATTCACGAACACGTCCTACAACGAACGCATTTACGTAACCACGTTTCTTGATATTATCGCTTCATGCGTCAATGCTTTGGGAGATGGACACAAACTGGTATCCGTCCTTGTATCTTAATGGCAAATTCTTTATAGTAACTGAATTATTTTTGTGCAAACAGGGAGTTTGGGACAACTTGGCCGTGGTCTTGCTAAAATCTTAAGGTAAGGAAAACGGAATAAGCGCCTGTCTTTGGTTCAAACTTATTAGCAATCGAAAGTTAATGAACTTCGCACGGATTTTTATACCACGCGGTTTGAACCTGATACAGTTTATTTACGGCTCGATTATGAAATTTTTTATTCCACACGTTCTATTTATCTCCCCTGTGACGTATTTGCTTTATTTTTACTCGTAAGTGCATCGTCAACGTGACGTGGTGTAAACTAACGTGGTTAGACGAACAACTCACTGAAATATGCAAGAAATGTCGAGAATTCCACTCAGAAAAAAAAGTCACTGTATATATTGTCTACAGATTAGCGTCTGTTGAGATTGTTAGTTAAGAAAAAAGTTACTGTATATGTGGTCTATAGAATAACACCTGTTGAAATTATTAGTTATTCAGACGATTACAAATAATTGGAAAGTTTGCAAGGTTCTTTGCAACGTCTGGCAGACAACAGCAATAGAAATCGGTGCGCGGTTAATCCATAGAGATTAACATCTACTTTTGAGAACAAAGAAGAAAAATTATTTCTTATATGTTGCCAAGGATGCCTTTTCATCCAAAGTAGTTTTTTATAAATGATTTTTAAAACTGATTGAATTTACCGATGTTTGGCTGATTAATCATTTCCTTCGCTGCCTAAGAGAAAAGTATGGAAGGGATAACGTCATCATGTCAGACATTGCAAAAGCGTCGTGGGATGTTTTGGAGAATGGTAAGTTTTCCGCTTGCTATTTCTTGTCTTTTTATGTATTCACATACATTGTGATAAGCAGCTCGTTGTGTTATGCCTTTGCATGTTAAATTAGCACATTTACTATGGTTATCCCTAGATGGAAAGTTTTTTGTTCGTACTATTTGCAGTTCGCGCTTAAAATAGAATTATTCGCAGTGTGTGTGAGTGCAAAACATTATACCCCACACAGGAAACACAATCTTCCCCACATTGTTCTTTAGTTGGGAAAGAGTTCCATATAACCCCATACATTAATTATGCATTCCATTTCATAAAGACTAAATATAAAGGTTTCTTTGCAACACTCTATGCATAATTAATGTCTGGGGTTTTATTACACGACTCGGGCAGTCTGAGAGGGCCAATAACTAAAATCAACCAATCAAAATGCTCTATTTTCTGGTCAATATTCTCTCAGTATTGGACCGGGCACTGTCCCGAATGGTCCCGAATGATACCGCACTTGTGTCCCTTTAAACTTCAGTCGTATAATAAATCTCTTATTAACTAAGCTTGCTCAGGACCGTACTGAAAGAATATCGGCCCTCGGTATTTTTTGTATGGACCTCGCTGCACTCGGTCCGTACTGTCAAGACCTCAAGCCGATATTCTCCCAGTACGACCCTCGCGCTTGGTTAATAAGATATGTATATGGAACTCTTGCCTTTAGTGGTAACGTCTTAATTAACCCTTCAGTTTCTAACATCGGTTTGTATTTTCTCTATACTGTTCTCTATACATTTCCAAAGGCATTGACAAGGAGAATTCGTGTAACAATCAAGAGTTTCTTATTCAGAATTCTCCAAGCTTTAATTAAGGCAGAACTGCATGTGAATGTCTTAGCCTCTACTGGTTAGGTGATGAGAAATATAGGACAATTGGAGCTTAAGTACACTGAGTAGAATGTACAGTTTTGGAAAAGATGTGATTAAAACCCTAAATCAGTAGCTCTGCCAACAATTTTGGTTTCCATGTTCATAGGTCCATACCTATACGCTGACATCCTGGACTTCAAAAACCTTCAGTCCATTGTGGTCAATGAACGCATTGATTGGCTGGTTCATTTCAGTGCTATCCTAAGTTCTGTGGGGGAACAGAATGTGTCACAAGCTCTACAAGTGAATGTTGAGGGTGTTCACAACATCTTTGAACTGTGCCGCAGAAATAATTTGAGGCTGTTCTGCCCGAGCACAATTGGAGCATTTGGTCCAGAAACACCATCAAACCCTACCCCTGATGTGACAGTTCAAAGGCCAAAGACCATCTATGGGGTTTCCAAAGTTCATATGGAACTTCTCGGAGAGGTGCTTGTGGAGTTTTAAATCTTCCCTATCTGTCAGTCTAAACTTGTGTTCTTGTCTGCTTGTTTTTTTGCGTGTGTGTTTTTGGACAACAAAGAAGGCCATGACCTTTAACCCTTGAACTCCCAGGATCTGATTATGAATTCTCCCCTCTTAGCTGCTACACATTTCCTTGTAAATTGGTCACAAGAATTCAGTGTTCAATCAAGGTAACAACTACCTGATAAATTTGAGTATTCTCATTACCTGTTTGCTGGATTACGTATGGATATTGTAGAGAGAAGTTAGCGGTTAGTCACTTTTGGGAGTTTAATAGGGTTAATCCTTCAGTTTCCTACACCAGTTTGCATATTTTCCTTACTGTTCTTTTTACATTTATTATGGTGCTAACATGGAGAATTTAATCAACAATTTAGAGCTTTCTGGTGGTTGATCATTTTTCCTATCCTCATGAGTGTAACCCTTTAACTAAGAGTGACTGGCATCTAATTTCTCCTTACCAAATCACCCCTGAATCAAATGTTATAGTCATGAGAACACACAAAATGATCAGCAAAGAAGCCCTTGATTGTTGAACAAACTCTCTTTGTTAGCACCTTTGGAAAGAACAGTATGGAGAATATGCATACTGAACTTAGTTAACTTGACACTGTAAGGAGAACCAAGATGATAATCACTCCTAAGGGAATGTTAAAGGATTAAGATTACCCTTTGGATAACTTGTCCAGTTAACCTGCAAATGTTATCATCATCATTATTTTTTGCATCACTTTGTTACTGTTTTTGTTTTTTGTTCTTGCTCTCTTTAACAGTACTACCATCACAAGTTTGGTTTGGATTTCCGCTCAGCCAGATTCCCAGGCGTCATCTCAGCTGAGACTGCCCCAGGGGGTGGTACTACGGATTATGCTGTCCACATTTTCCATGAGGCCTTAAGAACTGGCAGATACAAATGTTATCTGCGCCCTGATACACGAATGCCAATGATATATCTCCCAGATTGCCTACGAGCGACTGTTGAGTTGCTAGAGGCACCCTCAGAGAAGTTGAATCTGCGCACATATAACATCAGTGCCATAAGCTTCACACCTGAAGAGCTAGCTGATGCAATACCAAAATTCATTCCAACATTGAAAATGGAATATGAACCTGATGAAAGACAGGCTATAGGTAGGGTTTTATTTGTAAGGGGAGGGGGGTTGGGGAAGGTTAGGGAGGCTAAAGCCAATAGTAAGGCATGATATGGAAGGGGAGGGCTGGATTTAATTTATTCCATCTAGTAGTTACCAGTCCTAAATCAGAATTTCCAGTGGAATTAGTTGTTGAGGATACAAGCATGTTGCCCAAACCACACAACAGTTTGAGGGAGACTTATTAATATTCCCCAAATGTCTACATTATCAATTATCCAGCTTATTGTTGATACCTGTTTTTGAGTGAGAATGAGATTTTTCCATTCCTTTTTTTGGGATTTTTTAAAAACAATTATCAGTATAAATATTTTAAAATGGAGCTTTGTTCTCTTTCAGCTGACAGTTGGCCCCAGGTTCTGGAAGACAGTAATGCGAGGAAGGATTGGAACTGGCAGCATGTGTATGATCTACCAGGGATGACTTCAGCTATGCTGGAAGCATTAGCACCAAAGGGAAAAATCAGTGCCTCATCCATGCTTTAAATTCCCATGTTTTGGCCTTCACTACCATGCTGATTAACCCTTCAACACCCAGAAGTAGTATTCTCATTACCTGTTTGCCGGATAACATGTGGATATTATAGTGACAAGTTACATGTTAATCACTTCTGGGGGTTTAAGGGTTATACAAGCATGCAGTAGACCCAAGTATTTTGTTTAAATGTACAAATGATAAGTACAAGTTATAATTAATACATTTTCCAAAGCATTTTGACCAGCCCCATGATGACTTTTTGCTGGTGGGCTTAACCACTGACTCCTGTGAGTACCCAAGCAGGAGAGAATTTCTCATTACAACATCAATACAATATCAAGCAGACAAGTGATCCGAGAACAAATACAAATTTCAATTAGGGGATTATCGGTTGATCCAACATCAAATTCTCACAACTAACATCGTAAGAATTGTTTGGAAGACAAGAAGGAGAATTACTTCTGAGATCATGGGAGTGAAAAGCTAGGTTAACTTTTAGAAGCAATTTGACATCAGTGGTGCCAAGTATTTGCAAAGATTACGACCTGTATATTTTTGTCTCGCAAAGGAAAATCTACTGGTATTTTAGTGTACAATTTTTTATGTCAACCGGACAAGGCCTCATGGTATATGCTTCAGAGTAAAAACTATCACTGGCTCATATTGATAATCACAAATAATGCCTATTTCCAATAATTTTAGCATGGCCAAACTTTCATGAACATCAAAACTACACTGTTTTTTTTTTCTGCCATTAGAAAATGAAAGTTTGGTCACCAATCAGAATGAAACTACATTGTATAGTATTGTTAATGAATGTGGTGAAGTGTACCAAAGAACTAAATATTGGTTGAGTGGAATACATTCTGCTTTAAGATATGTGACAGTGAAAAACATATATTATTAATAGTCAAATGTAAGTATTTAGGAATGATTTAAGTCTTATAAAGTGAATCACCAAGTATGCTAAACAAACTACACTGTTTTATACTTCAATCCATTGCAGTCTCCAGGGTGAAATGCAACAGTTGTCATAACTTTGCTGTATATGTCAATACAATATTTATAAGTATACACAGACCCATTTCAGGCCCATGCAATTTAAGGTAATTTGGTGATATCAACTAAGTTGAGATTGTAAATTGGTTGCTTTAAACTCTGACAAAGGGCTAACACTTGAAATGTCAGCTTTTTAACTCTTTATGGTGGCCAATTTACAAATTACTTTAACTTAGTTGATATTACCAAATTACCTTGTTACCCCCACTGACCCAGCACCACAGTTTCTTTAGAAAGTTACCCCCTTTATCCATGCTATTCTAGTCAAACTAGTAGACAAAATAGTAGAGGTGATATTTATTTCTTAGATTTTTACCTGAATATTTTTCTTTTCATTTGCCCTTTGAAGAAGCCACATTTGCACAGACATGAAATGGTTTCATAGTTACATAACCTTGCAGTTTGGAAATATATTTCAAAACTACAACATTGTTAAGAGTAGTGTTAGGTATAATATTTAAAGGGTCATGAAAATATAAGTTATTTTAATCTTACTTTGTGGTTTACATGAAGAGAGAGTTTTACTTTACTTAACAGTTTGTTACATACTTTTTTATGTGCATGTATCCAAGCACAATAAGATAATTCAAAAGGGAAAGTTGTCTGTTTTTTTTTATATATATAGATATAGATATATATATCTGCAATTTATCATGATCCAGGTTCAAATGTAATTTGGAAAGTGGGTTTTTATGGAGGGAGGACAACAGGATGACCCAGAGGAAAACCCTTAGAACAGAGACAAGAACCATCAAAAAACTTACCCATCTACTGCTGGGTTTGGGAATAGAACCCTAGCCATGGTGGTGTAAGGTGAATGCTCTCACCACTACCCCATCCCCACTTCCCAATGACAGTCTAAATTTTGCATGTTAGGTTTGGTGATGATGGAGAACTCAAAATACTCAACTTACAGGACTATTCTCTCATTTCCATGAGAGCACGTCAATCCTTCCCCCTCTCTCTCGCCCCACCAACAATAGAGACTGCAATTATACCTTGCAACAAGATATGAGTGCAAAAATATACAGATTGAGAAATAAAGAAGCAAACTGAGTGTCCACTAAGAAGGGGGATGGCACTATAAGAGGTAATCTGGGCAATAAGACAATTAAAATCTCCAAAGACAAAATTTCAAGTGTCACTGATTTATTGCTCTGTCTCAACATGTAGACAACAAAGTCTAGCATCCAAAGTTGATACAATTGCAGAACCTTAAAGTATATTCAAAACCTTTTAGTGTAAGCTAATCCAAGATAGTTCCATTACAGCAAGATTTGGCCAGCTGGTAGAAACAAATTATAGTTTTATATAAATGAATAAAGGCTGATAGTTTCGAAAGAAACTGTTTGGGGCTGCGTCGGTGGGAGTAACGAAATAATCTGGATATATCAACAAAGTTGAAATGGTAAATTGGCCACCGTAACGATTACAAAAGCTGCAACTCCACTTGGCTCCGAAGAAGGGCTAACGCTCGAAACGTCAGCTTTTGTAATTGTTACGGTGGCCAATTTACCATTTCAACTTTGTTGATATATCCAGATTATATAGTTTTATATATATTTACTAGTTCATTAAATATCACATGAGATCATTCTTGATTAAGGCCTTAAAGTGCTACTAGACAAGATGAAGTTTTTTGGTTCAATTCTAACGTGTGAAGTGTCACTGTTCAACAAAAGAGATGAAAAGTAAATCACAAGGGGTGAATATCTTGAGCAGGAAAGCTTGATTGACACAAAACAATTATGAGATAGCTAAGGCGTCACTTAAGGACATAAAGAAACAGCATTGAGGTACATTGTCGTTACAAAAAGTATCCTCTTACTCCACCCAGGGATGACTTGAAAGCCAAAAATCTAACCTAAATGAGTTGAGGTTTGACACAAAGGAAAACATGAGTGAAATGAAGTTCTGAAGCAGAACCATTCACAATTTTAAATCAGCTCTATACTACTGTCACCAGCATATTTCTGGCATGAAATCTGACCTAATGGCTAAATATAATTTTAATTCTTAACATGGGTATGGCAAGGACATTTTCTGGAACATCATATACCTCTGCAGAACCCTAATCACATTTCCTTTGATACTCAGCAAATCATGATCACACTCTGATTCCTATTGGACAAGTCAATTGTATCCTGAACAATCACACGACAGTAAAGTTCATACCCAAGTAAACCTCAACACTTCTCCCAAATACATTTGCAGTTTGTGATTCATTTCACAAATTTTTTTCTAAAGATCATGGTTTTCTGAGTTGTGTAAGAGAACAAAGATTCAAAATACCAAAGAACCCTGTTAAAGAATGTAGACCCAATTAAGAAAATTACTTTTCACACTTACGTTTAAGTTCCACAGTTTTTATCCATTTTCAAACGGAGCATCACATGATTGGGCATGATTAGTTAGCTCTTATAAATTAAAACAACTCTAAGAACTTACAATTAATAATATCAAAAGTCGGCCTGCCGACTAAATAACACTGTTTAACTCAATAAATTAATGCAAACTGTGACCACAGTCTATATGGTCTACAATAAACTTTCAATTATGTGAACTACTTGGTAGGCAAAATAATTGACCTAATGGTGAAAATATCATTTTGAAGAGAGGAATATATCATCCTATAGAGCTATCAATAATAATTTGCTTTTAAAACACCACATATTTCTAGGAAAATGTAAAAGATAGCTTACACACTCTTTTAAAAAACTGAGGCATTTGCCATTTATCTTTCACTGAAGAATTGTTAACTTTGTAATGATCATTTCAAAGAAGTGCAAATCTCTGTGCTTGGCTACAATTTCCCAGTTGACCAATAATTTAAAAACACCCATGTCCCTGTAATTTTGCACCAATCACAGAAAGAAAGACAACGCATGAAAACGTTAGTTTTAAGAAGCTTAATTACAAAAAAAAAAAGGTACATGTGGAAGTGAGTATGTCTGATTTGTGACACATGGTGATAACTAAAACCAGCAAACCAAATTTTATGGTGAATGCAGGTTTTGGGTCAAGGAAACGACTTGATAATCTATATTCAGCATAATAACTTTATAAATAAACAGTGATTGAAGTAACTAATATAATTATGTTATGACAATAACTGTTATCAAAATATTGATAATTAACCAGAGGGCACAGGCTTACTCTTTTAAGAGAGCCATCTTGACAAAGAATGGTTTTCCTGTGGGGTAGGTAAAATGCTGTCCTCAAGAAGTCCAACTTTAAGTTTAGGGCCACTTTCTTGAAGGTTTTGTTAACTTAACAGGCCCACTAAAGCTTTTCTTTTCTTTTTTTTTTTTTTTCCTTTTTTGAAAATTCACAATACAACTACATGTATCAGCTTAAGAAAGAAAATGGACTGGTTGGGGTGCCAGAACCATCTCCTGTAATCTTGACCTGTCAAGTTACCAGAACTTTCAAAAAACAGGTCCCTCTGGACCCTCAAAAAAGCGTCCAGAAATGAGATACAAAAAGGAGCCCAGATTCTATACCTGCACCCTTGATGCCAAAGTGCTCTCCCAATATTTACACTGTACAAGTCACTAACTTAGATTTAAAAGTAAACGAGTTCTTGCCTTTTATCACTGTCAATAATTTCTTTCCTGAAACATCACTGACAATAAGCAAGCCAGTAATAATAATAATTTCAGGTTCACAATATATTACTAATTATTATTAATACTTAATTGTTATAGTTATATTTAATACCATAACTTTTTAGCACTGCAATCCTTAGATGTGACTCATTTTTTCCTTTGGTCTTATAAATCTTTCATGATACCACAACACCTCCCACATCATGACAGCAGAATTGTCATACATCTAAACTTTGCATTTTGCACTGAAAAATCAAATACCAGAAGCTTGGACAACTGATATGATATTTATGGAGTAGTAATTAATCTGAGTACTTTTCTCATTCAATTTTATTTAATGTTTATATATTTTTAATGGCTAACTTAGTGGCCTCCCTTTCCATTAAGCATGAATTGCTGAATGCCTTACAAGGTCATCTGGTCTTTGAAATTTATTGCCATCGTCTTCACACCTGTGCCGTGATGACACGTCAGAGTGTAGACGGACATGATCTTGCAAATGCTCAGCAATGCAGAATTCTTTATCACAAACAAAACACTTGTAAGGCCGCTTTCCATTGTGAATGTTCATGTGATCTTGAAATGCTGCTTCTGAGAAAAACTTCATGGAACAGATCTTGCAATCAAAAGGCACAACTGTTCCATTCTGCTCACGAGAGTGTGCTTCAATGTGTATCTTGTAGCTTTCTGCTTTTGTGAAAGTCTTAAAGCAGTAGTTACATCGGTGAAAGGATCTGCTTGCTTTTACAGGTTGCACTGTTCACATAAAGTTAACAACAATGATCCTTGTCAGTGAAACAGTCTTTGGAGAAATCAAAAGACTGAGCGGTACTTAACAACTCCTTAAACCTTAACATCAGTTTGCATATTCTCCATACTGTTCTCTATACATTTCCTGAGGCACTGACAACGAGAACTTGTTTAACAGTCAAGAGCTTCTTCAGTTGCTGATCAATTCTGTTATTCTTGTAACCTTATTGAGTGATTCAGGGGTGATATTATGAGGAAAAACTTGATGCCAGTCACTCTACAGCATCAAAAGGTAATAAACTACAATGGAATCCCGATTTCTTAAACCCTCCGTTTCTTGAACCTCCCGATATCTCGAACCAAACCTTGTTTCCCTTGGATTTGCTTCACTTGTAATTTCACCCCTGATTTCTCAAACTCCCAATTTCTCGCACCAATTTGCATTTCCCCTAGAGGTTTGAGAAATCAAGATTCCGCTGTTCCAACAAAGTTCAAACAGCAATATATGAGTAGCATAAAGTAAGAAGTTAATTGAAAACTAATCTTACCATTATGCATTGCTCTGTGCACTCTTAAAGCATTTATATGCAAAAAGTTTTTCCCACAATGTCCACAAGGCATGTTCCCCACTTTGTGTCCTAGCTTATGTTTGCGAAGTGCATCAGCTCTGCGGAACTCCATGTTGCACTCCTCACACTTGAACTGGTTGGCTCCAGTGTGAAGATTGATGTGCTTCTTTAAATCGCTGGACTGTTTGAAGGCTTTTTCACAAATGTGACACTTGAAAGGTCGCTCACCTTAAATAAAACAACAACATATTTTTAAATGAATTACAAGAGGCTGCAAATAGTGGTTTCACTAGATCCTCCAAAATGGAAATGAAGTGAACATTTGGTATGTGACTCAAAAGTATTGGCCATGACACTGTTTGCAGTATCCGTGGCTATGTAGAGCTTCTCTTTAAAGGCTTTCCATAAAGGCTTGGACCATCAAGTTAGGACATGAGATTGCACTTTCTTTACTTTTGTGGGCCATAAATGGGTTACTCTCATTTCTATAGGGGTCACCTTGTGTTTTGATTGCCAGAGCCTGGAAGATATATATGACTGTAGGGTTATTTAGACTTGAGTTTTTCTACAGAAAGTAGGCTAGTAGTAATAATAGGGCTCAACAATAACTTTTCAACTTACTAGCCAAGCGGTTTATAGTGACAACTTAGATGTTATGACAATTTCAGTTTGTTTACTAGCCAAACTGGCTGGTGGAAATAAAAAACCACCAACCAAAACTGAATTTTCACTAGTCTATGGCTAGTTGGCTACCCTTAGTGTTGAGCCCCACATACACTTTGCTGAAAAATGGCATCATCTTACTCTGCAACTTGTAATAATGTGAACTGACCCAAGTTCTTAAAATCTAATGTGAATCTATAACTTAGTGTAAAATATTTGCAACTGTATGCAACAACAGACAAACCTGTATGTATTCTAGTATGATCACGCAGGTGGCTGCGTGTCCTAAACATCTTTCCGCACACTTCACAGCGGAATTTAAAGCGCTTATTACCCATGTGGATGACAGAATGCTGCTTAAGTAAGCTGGAGCGAGAGAATGTCTTCTTACAGACTTGACAGTGGTGAATAGCACTCTCTGGAGAAGATCTCTGGTCTATAAAGATAAAAAAATTAGAAATATAGTTTAAGTGATTTGAAATCTCAGAGGGTTTGCTCTAGCCGAGAAAAAGGCATGGTCTTATTTAGGAGTGGGGTGATATTGTCACAGGTGCAATTGTGCCCACATTGTTTCACTGTGACATTGTTTGGGGTTGTTAGTACAAAATGCAATCTGTATATGATCGGAACTGAGTAGGTAGCTGAATTGTCTAAAGCTTATTAAGTTGGTATGTTGCAAAGCAACATGTTCTTCTATGGGGCTTCCGGGAGGTATGCTCCCCCAAAAAACTTGAAACTCTCCATGACATGATTTCCAGCATTCTAGGACATATTTGAGTAACTTTTTCTACCCAGACATTGATCTTAGAAGTAGTTATTTTCTGTCTTTTAATCACAATTCACAAAGTAGCTGTTGACAAGTGGTCTGACAGCTGCCAGGGTTCTGCAGCCAAGCAGCACCGTACCACAACCCTGACATCATACTCCTAAGAGGAGAGAGGCACTGTGAGTATTCAGATATGTGTTTGGCCAAAGAACACAAGACAATAGCCCCAGACATGGTGCAATCTTGGACCAACCAACTCAAAGCTCAGAACATTAAATATTGGGTCCCTCAGTCTCCCAGTAGCTCTCACACATAGTGATTTCTGGTCAAAAACTATAACAATATTTAATTGTGCTCACCTAAAGGCTCAGAGGCTAGAGACTGTGGGTCAGAACTTGCTGACACTTTCCTGTGTTGAAGAACACTGCCAGAGTCTGACGTATCAGAAGTCTCCGAATCATTGCCACCCACAGGTGATTTTGTCTCCTTTCTTGTCTCCCCCTCCATGTCCTTCACCTTGGTGTGTTCCCTTGCTAAGTACTTCAACATCTCAACAGACCTCTCTTGCAATGGCGTAGAAGCAGAATTGTGCATATTTGCTGACAGCTGTACCTTTTCGGGAGAGAAGAAATTTCGTTGGCCGTTTTCGAGTATATGCTTTGGAGGGGGTAGCTGCCCACTTTGTTCACTAGGCATTTTCAACCTTGTGGCTTCCTTTAAAGCCCAAGAGTAATCTACAGCATGGTCATTAATCTCCTTGTTCCACATCTGTAAAGCCGCAGTGCTTTCAGCTGTAAGGGGTAGGTATGGAATTCCTTCTCTGGGAATCTTGGCAAAATATTTCATACTGTTCATGAAGTTGTAGCTCCTAAACTGCTCTTCCTTACTTCGTAGATGATCATCACACATTTCACTTTTCAAAGCTTCTGATGCCTCTTGTGAAATATCTTTGATCATATTTTCTTCATTTCTTTCACCGGTTGGGGATTTTTGTGCGCTAGAGTGATACTGAATGACAGACACTCGATGACAAGCCACATTGTTCAATCTCTCTGGAGACTTTCTCAAAACACTGTCATCCTGAAGAAATTCCTCTCTCTTTAAGCTGTTTTCACTTAAGTTGCTGTGATCCCTTCTTTGGCTTTGTGAATCAAACTTTTCCGGGGAATGCAAAAAATTCTGGGAAGCACCATTAACTACAAAGTGGTTACCATTGACCAACTGGCTTGTTTGCACTTCTAATGAAGAAAAGCTAGCTGCATGTCCATACATTTCTGCATTAGGTAATGATAATTTTTTATTCCCTTCATAACAGGAATATTGAAAAGGCAGCCGAAGATAATCCTTTTCCTGCTGGATTTTAGGTTGTACACTATGGCTGTACATCATGTGTAAACTTGGGGGAGCTTCAGAATTTGCACCCTTGTGAGCCATTTCAGGTAAAATGACATTTGCCTGATCCTTGTGACCTGCACTTGAGAGTGACATGTTTGCAACTTCCTGACGGATCAAACTAGGGCTCACTGCCACGGGAGGTTGTGGTCCAACAGGCAAGCCTTGGCTGGGTGGCGACAACTGTCTGAGACTTGCTTCGTCCCCAGAATCTGACAATGTCTCTGATCCACTGCCTGGGGTACTGCTTGGCAAAGCCCGCGGCTGCATCATCTTGTGCAGATCAAGCAACTGGTTGGCTGCATCGAATTTCAGGTTTTTTTCTATTGAGTCTCTGTCTCGTTCACTAGTGTTAACTGTAGATTCTGACATCTTGGACAAGACAGCGGCTTGACTTATTGCCTGCCTGTTAGATGGAGCTCTCTGTTCTGGATCTGCTTGCTCTGAGGGATGGAGTTCTTTATGTTGTTCAAATGCTTCCTCAGAGGTAAACAAGGCACTGCAAACGACACACTTGAAGAACTTGTGCACAGAATTCATATGGCCTCTACAGTGGTGCGAACGTGTGAAGGCTGATGGGCAGATAGGACACTTGTACGGTTTATCCAGGGTGTGGGTGCGCCGATGCTTCTTCAGGTCACTGGACTGCTTGAACCCTTTGTGGCAAATATCGCAAATGTATGGACGCTCTCCTGTAGAATGAAAGATCATTCAAAGACATTAATGAGAAGCACACATGCATAACACATCCTTAACTATGAACTTGCAATGATCAGTTTGAAATTCCTTATTTAATACTGAGCCAAACTTCAAGTCAACAACTAGTTCTAAGCTTGTATTATAAAATTCAGAGAAGATCCCGATATCAAACAAGTACTTTTGACCCTCCACACCCTAACATCAATGTGCATATTCTCCATACTGCTCTATATACATTTCCAAAGGTGGTGACAAGAAGAGTTAATTTAACAATCAAGAGCTTCCATATTTGCTAATCATTTCCTTCATTTTTGCAATCTGTAATCTTAATATTGGATTCAGGCATGATACTGTAGGAGAAATTAGATGCAAGTCACTCTGAAGTTATTAAAAGCATTACTACCCTGCCCCCCCCCAATGGAATGCTGGTCTTTGGCAAGTTACTTTCCTTGCCATTTTGTCAGATTTGCCTGACAGATTACCAAAATGCATTTACACCCCTGGGTGGAGAGTAGAGAGAGAGGTGCTCTTAGAATAGAGTGCCTTGCTGTAGATTGCAACAGAATGACCCAGCCATGAGGCCATTTCTCAAAGGTTCTGGTAATTTATTCAGCCTGTAAAGCTGTTCTATTTTCATTCAAGATGAGGGTTTTAAAACTTTTGCCTAAAAATAACAAAATGGACTGGTCAAGGAACTAGAACCTGCTTTTCTGTTCATTAAATTTCAATTCTTAAACAAAGCTTTGAGCCTGTTAATTTACTAGCCTAAGGACTCTTGAGGAACAGGCCCTTGGTGTCTTACCCAAACATTTTAACTCACCTGTGTGCACCCTAACATGGTCTTTCAGATGCGAAGACACTCTGAACTGCTTGCCACAAGTGCTACATTTGTACGGCTTTTCTCCAGAGTGCAACCTTAAGTGGATGTTACGGCTGCTTGGATGGCTAAACAACTTTCCACAAACATGACACTTGTAGTATTTTTGGTCACCATGAACATCTCGGCAATGCTGCCGTAACATGGCCAGACCCATGTACTGTGAATTGCAGCGTTCACACTTGTACATGCGCAGTCGTTTGGATCCACCATTAACCTCTTGAGGCGAGTCATCTACACCAGCAGCTGTTTTGGAAGGTGAAACTAGGATGGGAATAAGAAATCCTTTTTTAACATATCCAATATCTTTTGACGATAAAAATGAACGGTAAAACACGACGTTTCGACCGTGCTTCGGTCATTGTCAAGTGAATGGAATGAAATACAGTAAATATATGTATATATACACGTACGAAATATAAAAATTTTTTTTCAGGTGTAAACAAACAATAAAACTACAAAGAAAGTGCTAGTAAAAAGCTAATTAAAAACCTTAGCACAAATTGAATCAGACTGTACGCTGAGAGTAGGTCTTAGATTGTGAATAAAAAACATCTCATAGACGAGGCAGTCAAATTTGTTCATGCACTTCACTAAGGTGCTAAAGTTCTTTGTAAGATCCTTTGGAGTCAAAGAATGTTTGTCGCGAAAATGTTTGCCAATTGACGAAGAGGAGAAGAGGAGTTTTTATGTTCTTCAATACATTGGTGTAGATGACAGCATGTGAAACCAACATAACCTGCATCGCACAGGTCACATTGAAATTTGTAAACAAGGCACTGTTGGTTCACAATCAGCGGCTTTGCTTCTCGCAATTTGAGGTCTCAACCAATCGTCTGGCTAACAAATACAGGTTGTAAGGTTGTCTGGATCCTATGACTTAGATCTTTAAGTTGGGCATGAACAATATCAGTGGATGCCTGATCCTTATACGGTAGGACAACGCGAATGGGGTCCAATCGATAGCTGACAGCAGGTGACGAAACTGGCTGATCAGATACTTTGGCGGCAACAAACCATGAAATGGTAGAATTGACTAAATTATCAGGATATTTCAAACGAGAAAATACTGATTTAAGTCGATCGAACTCTTCAGAGAAATAATGCCAATAAGATGAAAGTCGAAATGCACAATCAAGCATAGTTTTTAATAACCCAGGTTTGTAACGATCATCTACATGGCTCTTGTAATGTAGTAAAAGGCCAAGGTATTTTATTCACAAGCTAAGACCTGCTCTCAATGTACAATCTGATTCAATTCGTGCTAAGGTTTTTAATTGGCTTTTTACTAGCACTTTCTTTGTAGTTTTATTGTTTGTTAACACCTGCACAAAATTTTTTATATTTCGTACGTGGATATATACATATTATTTACTGTATTTCATTCCATTCACTTGACAATGACCGAAGCACGGTCGAAACGTCGTCTTTTACCATTCATTTTTATCGTCAAAAGTTTTAAGAAACCCTTGCTTATACCAATATCTTTTAACCCTTTAATTCCCAGAAATTATTAACATGATATAGCTTCTCCCAAAATATCCAAACATTATCCACCAAAATGACTGTGAAGATACTCAATCTCATCATGCAGGTAGAAGTTGTTGCCTTGATTGAACACCAAATTCTTGTAACCAATTTACAAGGAAATGTGAAGCAGCTTGAGGGGAGAATTTACAATCACATCTTGGGAGTTAAAGGGTCAATTGAGTGCGAGAGTCAAGGAAAAATTTATCTCTTAGAACTAGAGACACAACCATCCTGAGAAAGTTGGCAAGTCAAAGGTTTAATAATAATAATAATAATCGACTTTATTTAAAGAGGGTAGACACATAACAGCTTGCGCTGATAAACCAGTGGTTTGCTAGTTGCTGAGGAAGTTGCCGTGGGTAAACAATCAGTAAGTTATAACTTTACCCTAAAAATCCTTAGAGTGATCAGCATCTAATTTCTTTTTTAATTACAATGATATTATACACTCCCAGCCTAAGTTTTGATTGTTAAAATGATTTGACCACATCAGCAACAAAAGAAATATGTAAAGAAACATATGAAGAATATGGATAGTTATGATACAGTGTAAAGGATTAACAGACCTTGTGAAAGCATGCTTATATATATCATACCTTGTTCAACCAGTTCTTGAGGACTCTGGACCTCTTCAAGACCATTAATATCTCCATCTGCCATTTCATTATCCTGAGTCATATCTCTGGCTTCATCCTTATTCACAGCTTTGCTTTCTTCATGACTGTCTTCTTTCTCACCTTTTGAGATCTTCCTGTTTATTTTTACTGGCATGCCCTGTTCATTTTCCTCTGGTATTTGACCCCCTTCAATCTCAATATCTGCATGGACTCTTTGAAGACTTAGTTTTCTGGATTAAAAAATATTAAGGTAAATTGATTGATACACATGCAGGATCTCTACTTGATGACTAGCAACATGACAAAGGTGGCAACTTGTCAGCAAATGTGAAACATGTTCACAAGAAAAACACTGTTGCATGACCAAACATTTAACTACTGTTGCATGTTCACAGCACTTGCTCATTGATGCAACAATATTCATTGTGTCTGTTGAGCGTATTTTCAAATGTAAATGTTCACATTTTTTTTAATTTTTCCAGAAAACCACTGAACCCTCTAGCATTCACAACAAAGCCACAGAACATGACTGTTTCTGCTGAATTCTCTTATTTTTCATGTGCAAGTAGCTGTGATATTTTAAGATTCAACTCCTGATAATTTCCAGAATCAACAAACCTACTTTTTTTTTTTTACTTAATTATTCATAAGCAGTGTACGTGACTGCTAAAAAATGACCACCACACTACATGCATAGAGAAAGAGGCAAAGGAAGATCAGTGTCCAGAGACTAAGAAAAAAAGTAAACCGTAGATTGCCCTCTGAGACTTAGATTTAAAAGTTGATTTTTCTGCAGTTTTCGTCCATGAGAAAGTAAGCGGGAAAAGTTCATTGTCTTGCAATGAAATCTAGATACACAACCACTGTGAAATTACGCAACACTGATGGAATAGAATGTCCTGGGGTGCAACCACATTATCTAAATGTCAATGGCTGTGCATTTTAAATCAAAGAATTGCAAATGTTTAATTAACACAAATTGTCTAAATGTCAATGACTGTGCCTTTTACATCAAATAATTGCAAATGTTTCATATCTCTAATTACCTTGTATACAGATTGACTACCATCATGATGCAAGTGAAAAAATTGTCACGTAGCCCGGAAGACTACCGACACCTCTATACCTCTATTAATTATTACAGAGAACTTTCCTTGCACAGGAACTGTGTTGAATAACACTAATAATTAATTCATATCTATCTTTGTGGCACTTATTCATACTTGTATGGTCATCACGATTTCATCAAAACATACCTTTGTATCATATCTGGAATGATATTTTCAAGCTGCAATTTCCTCTTTAATTTGAACAATGATTCACAGCATCACAGTTGGACTGAAAAAACAAACATACAAAACGTTATTAATACAACATGAACTTTCAAAAAGCCTAATTGTTATGGAGGAAGAACACAAATTGTTAATTTCAGATGCATACTTGGCTTTGGACAAATGCTAACCATTTCCAGAATTAATGTACATCAAACATCACTAAAACGTTAACATCTATCAATGTACTATTGCATTCGAATGTAACTTCAAAGGTGTCTATCAAATGCATCTTTTCTAATTAAATCCAAATGTACAGACATCGACTTACACCTACTTCGTTATCCTAAATTGAAATACTTGATAACCTCACTTGAATCTCTGGTTAAATCCCAGATTAGATTCCATTGATTTTGTACGTCAAACCCAACCCGAATTGTAAACTGTTGTTTTGCCAAGTCAAACGTTGAACCAAATGTGGACAACCTTAACACCCAAATGCCTCAAATTTAAGAAAGCATTGTGCGTACTTCACCATGATGCTATCTACACAGCTTTTAAAATGAGCTGGTCTTCAGCTTTGTCTGTGGCTATACCAGCTATGTAACTTGATTCAGATGATCCAAATTCTTTAAAGGGGTTAATAACAGTTTGCAAGATGTAATTGGCTGAATGATTTTCCCCTCATGTGAAGTACCGCATTTGACCCTAGTCTCAGAAACATGTCACATAAACCAAGACATCAAATTAAAATACCACAACTTTGCTATAATAACCTTATGCTACAGCTTGCTTTAGCAAAACCGACTTATAAATTAGATCCCTGGCTAAATAACCCAAAAATGTGTGCCAAGATTGATATTAATCTACCCCAAAATCAATTAAGTTAAGGGAAGATTTGATGAAACAAATACTTGCTTAAACTATGCATAATTAATTTTTCTAGAATATTTTCGACGATTTCATGTTAAGCGAGAGAAAAAACTTTGATTTCTAACCGTTTGTGGGAAGTGTTTAGCAAAGTTTGAGTTGAACTAAGAATCGTCATTTTCCGGGTGTGATGTGAGTTCGATATGGGAGATATCGTCAAAATACTTAAGTTTATAAAACGTTTTCTAGAACCGGACGTAGAGGTCAAACACGAACGCACATCGGACCAGAAATTCCAAATGTTTCCGTTGCTAAAATTCTATCGATCAAAAATTTCGGACGATCAACTTTTCCCTTAGCACCAGTTACGAGTACGAAGCAGCGACAGAAATCCCGTATTTTTCCTGGTTGAGTCTAAAGCGGAATTTAACTTTATAACCATAAGCTAAGACGTGGATCACGATTTATACTGAATTCTCGCGAGCAAACTAACGATGGTAAAGTGAATAGAGCTGTTATTTTTTACGAAAATGTTAATGAGCTTCCAGAAGAGAACGGTACGCGTGCATGTGCACACCAACTAATGAAATAACACGTGCTTAACTTACTATAACTGAGAAAAAACAAACCTTGATGATTAATTGTCGTAAAAACAAATCATATTTAGACACGAGGTAGCACCAACCATGCCCTCTAGACAATGAAAAAGCCACGAAATAATTTCATCTAGCAGTATTTTCTATTAATGAATCACCAAAGCGCCTTCGAAAGACCGAAATTAATGTTCAATGTACAGTTTTGGCACGTGCAATTTCTTTTAACGCTACAAAGAGTTCAAACGGTAAAAAGCCTTCTTCTCCACTTTTGGTCAAAATTTATGTATTACAGCCAAGGAGTTACGCACATTGTTATCCGGTAACGCATATCTGTTCCACCCTGGTAATACAGACAGGCGAAAAATCACAAGAACGCCAAGAATGGCCGAAAGACGCTAAACGTGAACGATTGCATGCTAACTCTTTAGCACAAGATTTACCACTCGTGGGAAAGTGAAAATTACCTTCATTGACAGAAAAATTAAGAACATGACTCCCTGATGTCGGTTAACGGCGAGAAAAACGAAATAAACGAGTTTGCGAGGAACGTAGCGTGTCATTACTGAATATGGTGGTCGATCGTTCACGTTTTGACGAAGAATGATTCACGTACCGTTTTGTTGGCGCATTCTTGTTGCTGAGTAACTTTTCAAACCCCAGCGAAGGCCAAAAAGTACTCAATATGCGAAAAAATTTCTTTACTGCGGTGATAATTCTCTTTAAGAAGGAGTAAACTCGATGAAAACGCTAAAGGAAGCAAGCGGAAGAAATCAAGGGAAACGACCGCTGGTACGGTAACTTGACATCACATTTCACGTAGGACGGAACGTGTAATCAATTGTGAAAAAATCGCCTTACCTCGCTAAAAGGCCACCAAGATCGCTGATTGAAACACTGATCTATCCTTCAGGGTGCTAACTGCTAGAATAAGCGATTTAACCGACTAGGAACACAGCTGTGAAAGCGGAATAACAGTTTTCACGTAGAATAGTGAAATTTTGACGCAAGCACCAAAACGTGTGCTATGCCCCAGCACCTGGCGGGTCAACGTGTTTGTTTTTGATCGACGTGTTTCAAATCGCTAGGTCACGTGGTGCTAAAAATATCTGTCAATGTAATGCATACTTATCCTTTTACTGTGCACTATATCGGTTCCAAAACAACAAGATGAACTAAAAGATAACAAAGCCAAGAGGATAAAAAAAATAAAAGCGTTGAGATTTCTTTATATCCTCTAGAGTAATCTTCGAACACTTCTTTCCCATGCACAGTGGTTGTGAAAAAAGGGGGTGCGAATGATTGCTTTCAACCGCAGTAACCCCAAATGACGTCACAACAGTTCCCCGTAAACCGGAATATGAACTCTTCGTTTAAAGAAACTGAAGTACACAACTTTTCGAGCAGAAAATTGCACGTTCTTGGCTTGAGTGAGAACACTTATCTTATGTTTGGCGCAGGTAAATTCGCTTGACAACTGATGAAACGTCACCAGCGCTAAACTTAAGCAAGACGGAAAAAAAAATCACCGTTTTGAAACAGTTTTTCCCTTTCTAGTTAAGTCATGCGTTAGCGGTTTCGCTTTTCGCGTTAGTTATTAGCGAGTCTTGTACGAATTGAAAGTATCACTGTATTCAAACGGATAGAAGCGCATATTCTCACGACCTTGGCAACAATGTTAGGTCTGGTGTTTTCTTTTGGTAATGTAAACATAGCCACGCGTTTCATTTGCATCCGCTGTGGTGAAACTTGGACCGGAAAGAGCGCATGAGAAACCTATTTTTGGATGATTAGCAATTCAACATTTATCTGCGATGTGTGCCAGCAAATATTTAATAACCTTTGATCTTAACTGAGGAATGAGGAGACGAAGGTATCAATTTGAATAAAAACTGCAAGTTTAGCCAAAAGTTTTACCATATCCTAAAAATATTTGCTAATAAGACAACTAACAATATAACAAAAAAAAACCTTCGAGCAGAGGCCGCGTAAGCGACTACAGTATGAAATCACTGACCTATTCTGCTTGCGTGTAACAAGTCCTCCAAATTCTTTGCTTGCGGTTTCCGAAAAAGATATATGCTTTGCTGGAACAGACGTAATGTGTTGAAGGTAATATTGTTGTCTTGCAGGGTTTCAGGAAGTTGCTGCCCTTCTGGATTATAAGACATATAATATCGCACGTAACCATGGAGGTTTCCAGGGAGGCAGAAATATATCCGATTCTGTTTTAATTCCACCTGTGGTCGGCTTGTCTGATCTGGCATACGAAGACCACGAGATGGGATCCATTTACGGACTTAAAGATACCCTGTATGCTGATGAAATCGCAGATTAAGTTTTCTCGCCCGTTAGCACGCTTAGTTGAATTTATCAGATGCCTTGAGGATGCAAGCCTATTTTAAAACGGTCTCGGCCAAACAGCCTCAGGCAAATTTGAAAATGATCTATTCAATACAGGCTTTGTAAGTTTTCTGTTAGCTTATTTGTGTTATTAAAGAATAGCTTTCCCATACTCGTTGATTCGAATCATATATTTCTTTTTAAATTATCGTGCATCGGGACTGTTTGTCGGAATGAATTGCATTCAGTTTGAAGAACCCCAGTCATGGCTTTGTTTAAGAAAAGGCAGGAAAACCTGAAATAATTGTTTTATTGTTTTGTTTTGTTTTTTTTTTTTATCAACGAATCCGATTAAACTAGACATGGTTCAAAAGCCTTGTAACCTCAAAAAATATTTTCCACAAACACATCTGGAAATCACCCTTATTTTTTTTTTAAGTTATGTAACACAAACAAATTGCTAAATTTATCGCTGACAGGCGAGAAAACGGTCTGACATCTTTTGATCGCGCGAGAATCACGTTAAAACCACCCCCTCCCTTTTCTCAGGAAAGCGGAACCAGTTTCTGTATTCAAATTTAGGAAATAATAACTATGACAGCTGTTATTCTAAAAGTATTACGCTAACCACCTGGTTCTCTACCATGTTTTCTCGACTTCGGTTCTAGTGAAGAGACGTAATAACCCGCAGACACAAGGAGTCAGTACTTTTCAAGACCCCTCGAAACTCGTCGAAACGAAGTAGTTTTATGGGTGAAAAATTTAACGGCAAATGCCTATATTGAACGTCTGACTTGGTTATTCAGAGACAACATTCTTCGTTCTTCTCTAATATGAGTTTTAGAAATTCATTTCAATCAAGGAAGACCAATAGAATTCTATGCAATTATCCAAGCAACACATTAACCGTATTTTGCCCCAGTCCTGAATGATTTGCGTCAATGGAGTGCAGCCCCTTCAGACTAAGCTTCATAGCGTAAGTCGACAATGACGAAAACGAGGAGGTTTTCTGACCTTTAATTACCCTTACGCCAATGTACGTAGCTTGCGGTTAGACATCTCTTTAACTCATCGAGAGCAATAAATGATTATAAATAGTGACTGATCCGATAATTGCTGTGACGCAGCGTGAAATATCCCGTTATTTTCCTAGACTCCCAATGAAAGCGAGGTACTGGGAACAAGGCTAGTAAAGAACCTCGCGTGACTTTAAATGCAAATTTCAAATTTTTTTGTCACGCAAACCTTAAACAAGCGAAGCGCAGTTATCTTTTTAATGTTTGACAGTTACACTTAGACCAGGATATAAAATGGGCGGAAATTTTGTTCTATCGGTTGAATAAACACGGCCCCCGAGTAAATGCTGTATATAGAAGCAAAACTACCTCTAGATACCGCCCCCGAACACATACAATGCCGCGGATGGAAGTAAAATTATATATAAACACCGCCCCTGAACAAGCGTCTCATCAGAAAAACGTGACGTTTACTCGAGGCTCAGTAGGTTAACAAACAGTAGCATGATTATATTTTTCATTTTTGATCTATAAATCACCATGCACCAGCCTGACAATCGGGAAAGAAGGGAGACATTGCAGATTTAAACCTGTTTCTGCGATTTACTCAAATTTTTCTTATTGATTCAAGAAATATTATTTTGAAATAAAGTTTCCCCTTAAGCAGTTAAACAGACACCGCATCGGAAACGAAAAAAAAAATAATAATCGTGAGGATTCGGTAACTTATTTTGTTTGCTAAACTTTAAGATAATTTATGATAAATATGTTGTCAGGCCGATACAGAATAAAGAATACCTTTATTGAAAGTACGTCAATGCAAACGCAAAAGATTTGCTGGGAAGATAAGACCGTGTTCATTCCCAAGTTCATTTTCCCTGCGTTGGGACTTAAATCGGAAACTGAATTATCTTACGTCTCGCACACCTTTGGACACGCGGTTAAATGTTTTTCAATAGCACAAAACACACACACACAAAAAAAAAACAGGAAATAGATCATATGAAACAACAGCTTTCGCGAATTATCTGCTGAAGAAAGGTCAACAAATGATTTAAATTATATTTCATATTGCTTTTGAGCGGGTAGCCTACGTGTGGCCGTTCCCTCTCCCGGAGGAGAAACGTTTCTCCTCGGTAGGGGGAGGGTACGGCTAAACGTAAGCTGTTGACCGGGTGCGTGTTTGGTGATCACGTACTGACGGCTGAGACCGAAATTCTTCCGTCACGTAGTCTCCTGGTCTATTGTTTTAACAAATGAGGCGGTTTGATTGGAAGCATGTAAATACAAAAGTCATGATGTAAATTAATGAACAAGAATCACGTATGTTCAATTTCTTTCTATATTCATGTACTTGTCTACGATTTAACGTTTTCAAGCAGTTCTTTCCGTTAATAACTTACACCATATGTTAGGCTGTTAGCAAGTTGTCACGCGGGAAAGGAGGAGGGAGATCACCTGATCAAATCGGACAATCCAAATTTTGCCGGACAGACATTGAGAATTCTAAGACACGATGGCTAGTTCTCCTTCATAACCCAACCCTCACAAATAAGCCATCACGTTAAAGAACTTTAAACTTGACATCGAAAATTGACGGGAACATTTTTCTTACGTATCTTTTGTTTCACGGAGTTTTTTTTCGAGTTTTTCGTTTAAGTCAATTTGTTATCCCTCAATTTGGAATTTTAAGAAGTTTCGCATTTTTCATTTAAGCCGAATATTGTGGTTATTTTAATACATATTTCATTTAATATATATTTTCTACAGAGCAGGAGTTTTTACAGCGTTCTTTATAATAAAAATTACAAGAAGCCTGTTGACGCGACTAAAATCGTTAATTGGAGCGATACATAATCTGCTAGCTTACCTGTTCGACGGAGGAAATATTATTGAAAACAAAAGTGGAATAAAGGATCTGTTCGTAAAGAAAAAGGAAGACCAATAAATATTTGTCTTTACGTGACTGAAATCGATACACGGCCTATCGGCTTACTTGTTTTTTGTTGTTTTTTTCTTAAGCAAATACGAAGGAAAGAAAAGAGAAAGTGAAGAGAGCTATTTTAATTATAACAAAACCAATGAAAGTTTGTCTACGTGACTAAAATCTTAAATTGTATTGAGGTTTGTCATGCACTCCTAAAAAAACGCGCTGAAACGTCACTTAAAAACAAGGAAGTAAAACACTGGGATAATATCAGTTTTACGTATTTTCAGTTGAAAGATAATCTTCCTTTGTTGTATGTTTTGTTTGTGGTTAGATAGCTCGTTCGACAATCACGTTTTGAGAACTAATACGGAAGTAATTCATATATCTTATTAGACGTTTTGTTGTGTAGTATCGCTGGGTATTTTTACGAGTTGTGCCGTATTTTGACGAGCCCGTAGGGCGAGTCAAAATACAAATAACGAGTATCTGACTGCCAGATTTACCATCGGACCAGTAAGTGGCAAAAAGTTCGACGCAGAAATGGTTGCAGAAGTAACGAGAAGAGCAAAAGGATCGAACGGGGAGCGCTTGTTCAGAGTGTCTGAGTTTTTGAAAACTCAACAAGTAGCTTAATTTTTTTTTCCAGAAAGGCAGCAAAAGTGAAACAGCAGATAGCCCCCTGCGCNACGTTGAACTTTGACTTCTCTCGTTCTCCGACCACATTTTGTGGCACACAAAATCATTGTTAAAGTCAATAATTGCTCCACCTCTTGTAGCACTGGCATCCGAATAAACAAAATAACTTAAATCTTTACTTACAAAGCAATACCTAGTGTTGATATTAGCCATATTTTCTTTCCAAAAATACAGTTCTTCCTTGCAGTAATCGTCGAGAAGGGATATAGAATCCCAATTATCCCTGCACAAGGTGGACAAGACACAATGTCTGGTCATTATCCTGCCAATGCTACCAACTACGGGGCCGGTAGAGATCATTTGACCTGTGAAGGAGGCCAACTCTCTAGCAGACACTTTCAAATCGACTTCGATGATATGATCAATTGCATTGATGATCTTAACAATTCTTCTTTCTACAATTTTTAAAGTACCTAGTGCGGAATTCCAGGTTAAACCCAGCCAGTCCAATACTTGGGTGGGTTCCCATACCGATTTGTTTTCATTGACAATAAAACCCGCGTTACAGAAATCCGCCCTTACGGCCAGGCCCTTAATGGGACAACTTTCGCTATCCTGAACAATCGCCCAACCGTCGTCCAAGAAGATAGCTATAAAAAGACCCTGTATTCTCCGATACTTTTCTGAAGGCTTCAAAACCTTTGTGAAAGCATAAGGGGCAGGGGAAAGACCGAACGGGAGCACAGCAAAAACATGAAATACTTCATTGATGGAATTAGGCGCCCGCCATGAAAACCCCAGAAAAATTTGGTGCTCTTGTGCAATGTCGATATGATGGTAACCGCTTTTTAAATCGAAGGAAAACATGTACGCGTCTTTCACAAAATAAGACATAGCAATTTTCCAGTCCTCGTACTTAACACGTTGCTTAATTAAGGACTTATTCACGTGGCGCAAATCGAGAATTAATCTCTTCTTACCGCCCGGCTGTATAAGAACTGACAAAGGATTTACAACAAAAGGCTGCTCATGAACCATACGCACCCGATCAGAATTAAGAAGCTCAAGAACAGCTTGGTCCACGAAATCAGGATGAAGTCGAGCTGACTTATTATTCTTAAGCTTTACGGCCAACGGAAAGGTGACGAACGGCAGCCTGTAGCCGTTTTCAATAATAGACAAAATAAATTCTGGAGCACCTATAGATCTCCAGAACGCTAAACTATTCTTCAAATTACCCTTAACACTTAATAAATGTCCGCTTTCAAGTTCGTACTTCTGAGCAATTTGATCTACCTGCGCCAAGACATCTTCATAGCTTTGGCTGAATTGGTTGGCCTGCGATTGGCCTGCGGTTGGCCTGCGGTTGGCCTGCGATTGGCTTGTTATAGGAGATTCCAGGGAATGACTTGTAGCTAGGGGACTGGTAACTTCCCGGCTGGGAAAAGGATCAACAGTCCTTAACCCAGTGTCCAAATTTTCCGCATTTGAAACAGCGGAAGAAGTCGCCAGAGGTGTCTCTACGGCCTGAAAGATAAAGGCAATGACGAAAACTGTGGTAAGAGGGAGGTGGT